AAGCCAGTCCATCTTCTCTGGTCTTCCTGCACCTGGTGGATCGGCTCCCGGTCCGCTTGCCACGCCACTGTCTTCCAGCATGAAGCAAAAGCAGCGAACCCCGTTGCCAGTTTACAGAATTACTCCTAACGCTGCCAATCGCCTCATCACTCCTCCGAAGCGCGGATACGGTTTCTCTTACTCTACCTATGGCTCCCCATCTGGCAACGCTAGTACTTCATCCAGCTTTGGTAGCAGCTTACTGGGTGCTGGTGGCGGCAGTAACAGTCTCCGCGGCAGCGTCAATGGCAGCATTGGCCGCACCTTCAGCAAGAGTTACTCCACTAGCAACCTTAGCAAGACCTTCGATCCAGAGTCGGACAGCATTCTTTCTCCCGGTGCCCTGCAGGCCGGCAGTGCACGTGGTAACAGCAACCTGAAGCGTCTCACTATCAACCGTGGTCTGAGAAATGAAATCCTCTCGACCTCTACTCGTACTTCCCCGGCCCCTCTTCTCACCAACGGAGAAGATGCTGCTCAGTCTGCCGACAAGCTGAAGAAAAAGGTCAGCTTCGACGCTACTACTTCCGGTGTCAACGGCGGAGAACTTGTTCGCGTTGATCCTAGGAGCCCTGAGCCGTCTGCTGAGGAGCTTGGCTTCCTCCGGTCTGTGCGCAAGAGCGGTAGCCTCAATGGTTTCGATTCTGCTGCCACTACCGATCGTCCTGAGGTGGAGTCTGTCCGCCGTGACCTTGCTGTTGTCCCCGAAAGCGCACCACAAACCACCAACGGTGCTACCGTTAAGCGCCTTACGTTCATCCCTGGCGGTGACCCCAGGCCTGGTGAGTACTGGATGCAACCTTCTCGTGCCGAGCTTAGCCGATTGAGCCGTGACCAGCTCAGACAAGTCGTTGACTTCACTGTTGGACGTCAGAACTGTGGATCTGTCACTTTCAACGGCCCTGTTGATCTGACTACCATTGATCTGGACAACCTCTACTCCACTGTTGTGGATATTGGTCTCCGCAAGATTACTGTCTACCCCGAGGAATCTGTCAAACCTGCCAGGGGCAAAGGACTGAACGTGCCATCTACCCTGCGGATTGAGAACTCCTGGCCCCGTGGTAGAGACAAGAAGAGCAACTCGCCTGTCACTAGTGGTCCTCTGTTCGACAAACACATCGATCGTCTGCAGAAGGTGGGCGATACTGAGTTCGTTAACTACGAGACTGAGACTGGCACTTGGGTTTTCAAGGTGCCTCATTTCACTACATATGGCCTTGACTATGATGAAGAGGAAGGTGAGAGTCTTGACCAGAGCACCATGAGTGCCCAGGGACCTGACTACCCTACCCCTAGGGCTCACTTCGACCACCCCGCGAGTTTCGATCAGTCCACCAATTTCGATCAGTCCACCACTTTCTCCATCGACGAGTCCTTCGTCGGTTCTATGATTGGTGTTGAAGATGATACCTTTGATTTCAAAAAGCGCAAGCTTGTTCCTGGCTCTTTCGCTAGTCAGGCCATGCCTGTGGAGGATGATTATTTTTCTGAGGGTGAAACCGAGTCTTTTTTAGAGGAAGGCTCCACGGGTTCAACTACTGAGAATGACGATGACGTCGTCACCGAGAGTCAGCGTTCTGGCGATTCGGTAGTTGGATCAGATGAGGCAGATGAAATGGATATGGCGGGTGCCTTTCCGACTCCTCATCGCACCGTGGAGCGGGACGACTACCAGAGCACCAATGGTGACCTGGATATCACCTACCCTATCTCAAAACACTTCGGCAGTCCTGCAAAGCCTCAGCTCGATCTTAGTGGCGACTGGGCCGAGCAGCTGCAGCGCACCATCAGCCCTCGCAAGCAGAACCGTGATGCCTTGCGTGAAATGCAGGCAAACGCTTTCATTGATCGCAACCTCGTCGACGACGAATCTCCCACAACCACTGCGACAGCCCCTCCCAAGAAAGGTTTCTCGAACAGCATTGATCTTATGAACTCTTTGTTTCAGCAGCCGCGCAAGCAAGCTGCCTCTTCTCCGCTGAAGGCTCCTAAGGCACCGCCAAAGGGCTTTGAGGTTAGAACTCCCTTCTTATGTTCACACTGATTATTATTCCCTTTGTTTTCCCCCCCTTGTGTCACTGCATACTGCATCATGTATCTATGAAATTGCACATCACCCGTCAGATAGTTTAACAATGCGATAACCTGAGCTAAAACTTTTTTTCTTCCTTGCAGTGGCCCTACAACAAGCAACCCAAGACGTTTGCTGGCGATACAACACAAATGAGCGAATCCGATGCCGCTTTCCATGACTCTTTCAAGCCCCGTTGGGGTCCCATGGACTCCCTCATCTGCGCGAAAAACGATATGGAGGACACAATCTTGGGGGTGAACCAGACCTGGAAAGAAAGTTTCTCTATTTTCAGCGAAGAGCGTGATATTGCAGTGATGACTTACAACCAATCCGGCGAGGTATGTTTAGTGACCTTTTTTTGGTGTTTATTTGAACTTGATATTGACGATTATACAGGTCAGGGAAATGCTTGAGGTCCAGCGGCTTCAGTCCTCTATCCAGCGCATCGACGGCGCTCCTTTCGTTCGCATGGCCAAGGTCGACCTGTCGCAGTTCCCTCTGTCACCTTCTTCTCGTGCCCAGTCGGAGGAAGAGCGCCTGGTGTGGCAGCTTCTCAACATTCTTTTTAATGACGATATTGAGGACGACATCTCAGCGGGTGTGCCGGTTCGTCTACGACAGCAATTTGCGCACCGGATTAAGAAGGATCGACTCACACGTCTGTGGGAGGGAATCATTCGTGAAAAGCACTCCCAGGATCTGGATATGATTCGCTCCCCCCTGGAGCGCGCCGTTCATTTGATTTGTTCGCACCGAGTGGAGGAAGCATGCAAGACACTTATTGACAGTCAAAATCCTCATCTGGCTACTGTGGTCGCACAGATTGGCCGCGATGCTACCTCGCGGGCCGACATCGCCAACCAGATCGAGGTATGGCGTCAGAGCAACATACTCTCGGAGATGAGCGAACCTGTCCGAGCCCTTTACGAACTGGTCGCAGGAAATGCTCTCCGCAGCGAGGGCAAATCAGGTGGTGCGCTTGAAGACCGAGCCTCCAGCTTTGGCTTCACCGAGCGGTTCAATCTAGATTGGTTCCAGGCCTTTGGTCTTCGTCTGTGGTATTGCACTGCCGAAGATGAGCCAATTGAGGTGGCTGTCTTCAAGTTCCTTGAGGACTTGGCCACCGGACAAGAACCCGCCTTCCCCCACCCGTCGCACCAAGCCAGTACACGTGCAGTCCCCCAACCCGGCTCTGATACCCTTGGGCGCGAATCTCCTCTTTGGGTTCTCCTCAAGGCCTTCTCGGTGATTGAAGGCAAGAGCGCCAAATCCATTGAATTCCCGGCATCTTTCCTTCCCGAATCCGTCTCCGGTGACCGTTTGTCCAACCGACTCTCCTTCCAGCTACACCACGTTCTCGCTGCGACGGTCGGACAAAACCAGGCTATCAAAATCGACCAACATCAAACCGACCAACTCGTCTGGGATTTCGCTTCTGAACTCAGCGCAGGCGGAAAACTTGACCAAGCACTGTTTGTCCTCTTGCACCTCTCCCAAGCCAACGACCGCAAGCACGCCGTCCAGGAAACTCTCGCCCGGTTCGCCGCTCAACTCCCCGAGCCCTTCGCCGCTGACGGATCCTCCCACCCGGCATGGCAATATCTCGTCACTGAGCTCCAGCTTCCCGAGCCCTGGATCTGGGTTGCCAAGGCCCTTTATGCTCGCGACATCGGCGACACTGCCCGTGAGGTCGACTGTCTTATCCGTGGCAAGCACTGGAACGACGCCCACGCCACATTCTGTCGCATCGTCGGTCCAAGCACCATCATCGAAGGCGACTACCGTACCCTCGAGGCTCTGGTCTCTGGCTTCGGCGACGGGCCCGAGCGTAAAATGCGCGGCTGGGCTTCTGGCGGTGGTGTTTACGAAGATTTCCTCCGCCTTGTCAACGCCACTAGCGGCCGTCGTGATCCAACTCGTCTGAACCGCTTGGTGGCCGCTCTCGTCGCAATGGGCGATCGTGTCCAGGGATCTAGCTTGGAAGGATTGGAGGAGCGTGTTGCATTTAAGGAGATGAGCCGAGCTGTCGCCGGCTGGATTACGCATGAGGATGTTCATGTTAGTTCCCTCCCTTTTCCTCTAATATCTTGTTTTTACTCATTACTGACTTTCATCTTTCTACAGTGTGTTGAATCCTCTGCTGTTCTGGGCCTGCCCTTGACAGGCGACGCTCGCGTTTTGCAGACCGCAGAGATGAGCCGTCGGTACTACGGTGTCATTATGGCGGGTGGCCATTAAGTTTGAGACAAGGAAATCTTCCAGTTTGCATATGTTCATTGTGGAATTAGCGGGCACTAACTATCCAAAGCCCAAGCACCCTGATCTTTTTCTTTTGTTTTGCTCTTTTACTTTTTTCTGTGTTCTGTCCCCCCCCGAATGATCTCAAATGGTTCCCATGACATGTATTGTACTCTACCCTATTGCTGAAAACTACTATTTGAACCAATTCATTCTGTCCTTTTCCTCTGGTGTAGACATTGTAGCAGAATACAGAATATTTAGTTCGTAGTCATATCCTTGTAGTCACTTATGGCTCCGCTCATTGGTTGTAACCCTAAGTGTGAGTAAAATGGAAGCCATCATGAGCCTGGCTGTACTCGCATATTGGGATATTTGTCAAGGGTGGCCGGGTATTACGTGCTCATATATTATTCATGCTCGATGTTGTCTCCAAGTTGCTACGTTTATAAATCTTTCATATCTATTGCGAGAGAAAACTAAAGGGACCCGGAGTTGGTTACCAGCAAGGATTTGATTATCAGCGATGATTGCGTCTCAAGCTCCACACAGGTTCGCCATATTCCGAACTCCCACCCGCTGCTATCGAGGTACCAAAATCCATCTTATGATACAGCTTACCGTACATGACGTAGTTTTTGTCAGATCATTTCCTACTGCGGTCAATGGGGTAGCCTTTCGGAACCCAGGGATATGCCTGGATGGAAGAAGAATAGGCACATGCTTCGATACCACGGGGACCAGGACACACGTACATAATTTCGGTTAACTCATCAAAGATGAGCTTTGCTGGGGTAGGCATACGTGACATATGAGGCCGTCCGTATCGTCCCAGTTATCAGCAATGGTTGGATTTCCAACGTATAGCTTGACCTTCTTCGTCTTAAACACCGATGTTCCGCGGATGAACAACATTAACCCCGTCGGCAATAACACGCTGGATGTACCATACCAGGCCGATACGTTCGACGAATGCGTGACACACATCCAGATTGTACCCAAAATTCCGGGGGTGGCGAGCGAGATAAGGTGCTCCGGCATACCGACAAATGGATCAAACCTCGAGGTGCTTGACACGGGGGACAGTGAGAGATGTTGCTCTTCTTGGTCACTAGACCGATTCAAACGTCGTTTATGGATTCGTCGGGTCCGGTCAGATAAAGGAGGGCCGACGAACCTCGATTCTTGTAGGATCACTGCATCATTGGGGGCCAGAATTGTTGCCCACACGGTTTCGTCACAGGTCGACATGATGGATTTTTGTTGCGCATCGTGACTTGGTGAGGTGATTTTGGAATGCGGTGAATGTATGTATGTACGGATGGAATGGTGATTAATAGTATATGGGAGCACTCCCCCTTCGCTATCGAGGTAGCCACTCGTCTTGCGAGATCGCTTGGCCAATCTGTACACCGTAGCTGGTATCGGACCATTTCTCTCTGCTGTCGATAGGGCCATTGATTTGGAAAGCTGAGATCCATATGCTTGGAGATAAAAAGAATAAGCATATACACCCTCGGATAGTATCTTAGGGATAAGGAATATCAGGTACAGCTTTCCGGTCAACTTATCATAGATGAGCTTCTTTGAGGTGGCCACACACGGTTGAATCTTCAACGCACAAGCTGTCTTATCGATACGTTAGCTCTATGGCCTAAGGGATGAAAATAGAGGATGAACTTACTCATAAACCTGGTGGAATTCTTGGCGGATTACACTTGGTCGAGTCTGCGGACCCGTTGATGTGCCTTTAACGTAACTGGTAGATGAACTGACGGTTCCTGCCTTATCCTGCTTTTTCGTCTCGTCGCTCAACTGGCGTTTCTTGACCAATCTCTTGACCGGGGAGGCTTAGCCCAAGTTGGTTGTCGGTTCTCGGGGTGTGACAGGCTCATGTTCTTGATCGCCCGACTCATCCTCGAACTAGAATCTGGTATATCGAGACCGATCACAACAAGTGCAGCATAATAAAGGAATTTCGCTCGCTGCATACGCTCTGCGAAGCTTGAAGAGGTTGATTTGGAACGTAATCATCAATGAGTTTTGATTGAGAAAGATTGAAGCTAGAGCCGATCGAGAGAATCGGGCATTCTCGACAAGTTCTAGTCGATCATGAAGCCCTCACCTGAGTGTTTCTTCTCCCTTGAAGGCTCGAGTGAAGCCTTTCCGAATCTTAGGCCCGTGATCATCTATCACGGGAGAATAATCCCCCCCCCCCAATTCCCATTCACCTCTCGCATTCGTAGTTGGCTGAGCTAGCCCAGTTTGAGGCTGTGCTTCATCTTCGTAGGCTCTATCGGTGCTTGCGAATCAAAGGCATTTGAAGTCGGCAAAATGCAAGTCGATTGCCAGGGCAAAGATAGGGCCTAGCACAAAGCCAACATATTGTTGGAAGCACCCTTGTAGGCCGTGCTCATCTCCACACTTTGTAGCGTGGTTGTATGGGATAGAAGAGGTGAGGTTATGCAAAGTGTCCCAGGTTGTGCAGAGGGAAAGTACCGTTTTGGAAAGAGCTATACTTACTATTCCTCTCTTTTCTCATTCTCTATTCCTTTATTCCTCTACTTCTGCTCATTCTCATTCTTCTCTTTCACATTTTCTATTTACTTTGTCAGGCTATACCCTATTCAGATGGAGGTGCACCAGGTCGAAGGAATGAGGGAGGGAGGGATCGTGACAGTACATGGTCCCTTCGAGCACGCCCTAGATCACAGTCTAAGGAGAGTCGACAGTGGATATGGCCCTGGTTTGACTGAAGTACCCGTCGCAGCCTCAGCACATACATCCCCCAGCGACGCCAACAACGTCCATGATCAACCCGAGGCTGCTGCTGAGGGCAGCTTGGGCTCGCTAGCTACCGATGCATACATTGAGACCATAGAGACAGCACTGGATGATTCTCAGCCATTGTTCTCGGAATTCAGCAAATACGAAAAGTTATTCATCGTGGTAATGGTGACTCTTGCCTCGTTCTTCTCCCCTCTCTCCGGTCAAATCTACTACCCCGTCATGCCAACATTGGTACGGAACTACAACCTCACCCCGGAGCTGATCAACCTCACAATCACAACATATTTGATCTTCCAAGGGCTCGCGCCGAGCTTCATGGGCGCCTTCGCTGATACCGGGGGCAGACGTCCAGCGTATATTATTGCGTTCGCAGTGTATACCGCAGCCAATATCGGGCTGGCCTTACAGAACAGTTTCGCGGCGTTGCTTGTCCTCCGCTGTCTCCAGAGCGCAGGGAGCAGCGGGACGGTGGCTTTTGGGTATGGCGTTATAGCGGATATTACGACAACAGCAGAGCGTGGGAAATATATCGGCCCCATGGCAGCAGGTGTTATGGTTGCTCCTGCGCTGGGCCCCGTTATCGGTGGTCTTTTGGCTAAATTCCTCGGCTGGCGCAGTGTCTTTTGGTTCCTGGTCATTGTTAGTGGAGGGTATTTGGTGTTATATGTGCTTGTTATGCCAGAGACAGCGCGCAAGATTGTTGGTAACGGCCACGCAGTGCCAAATGAGTGGTGGCGCATGTCGGTCATCCAATGGTGGTCGAAGAAGAGGCAGGCACAGTCGGACAAAGAAGGGAACACTAGCGCAGAAGAATCCCAGCAGTCCTCGCATACCAAGAGACTTAGGTTCCCGAATCCTCTCAATTCCTTTGTTATCTTGCTGGAGTGGGATGCCCTGATCATCATCTCGTACGTCGGAATTGTGATGTTCTCGAATATTGCTCTCTTGACAAGCACTCCCAATCTCTTTGGTCCCTTGTACGGATTCAACGAGCTCCAGATTGGGCTTTGTTTCTTGTAAGTTTCTACGTCTCTGTCTTTATCTTTCCATCCCAGGATTTCATTGACTAACACAAATCCCCAGGCCCCTCGGAGTAAGCTCTTGCCTCGGCGCAGTTCTATATGGGAAAGCCATTGACTACAACTATAAGCGGACAGCCGAGAAGCTCGGATTCCCAGTGGACCGGAAGAAAGGAGACTACTTACGCAGTTTCCCAATCGAGCGCGCTCGCCTGCAAACAGTATTCCCAGTAATGGCCATCGGCGTTACATCATTCATCCCATACGGCTGGGTTCTACAGCAAAGAGTACACTTAGCTGCCCCACTGGTATTGCAGTTCATAATAGGCTTCTGCTTCGTTGCATCCCTGAATTGCCTCAACGCCCTTCTTGTCGACCTATTCCCAGACAAGCCTGCCACAGCTGCGTCGGCATGCAATCTTGTTCGCTGCTGCCTTGGTGCTGTTGGGGCTGCTATCATTGGCCAAATGCTGAGTAGCATGGGATGGGGATGGTGTTTTGTTTTTCTTGGCTTGGTCATGGCTGTTGGTATGGGGCTGCTCTGGGTTGAAATTGTCTATGGGATGGGCTGGAGAGAGAAGAGGTTGGTCAAAATCGAACGGAAGAAGGTGGAGAAGGAGGTGAGAGCCGCTGAGATTCAGGTCGAGGGAAAGGCAGATGGGGGAGAACAGAAGGTTACTAATATTCGAGAATCGGTTGCTGGTGCTCGTGCTGATGCTGGTGTCACTGGAGGAACTGGTACTCGCTCAAACCAGTGAAGCGGAAGTCGGGAGATCATAGCTCTGCTATTCTGAGGTGGTAGACTTTGTTGTTATTGCATTCGATCGTATGTTATGTGTATAGCATTGGGCGCTTTATGGATACAAGAATACTCGGCCGCTTATGCGGCCTTGGGATGTCCTTTTGTTAGTATTTTTTGGTACTCTTGTGCATATTCTCTCCCCCTTTCCCGTTTGATAGCGTAAGCATAAACTATGCAGACGACTTTCTTACGTATAACCTAGGATGGAGAAAATGGGACTATGCTACAAGGGGCACAAGTGAAGACATCAAATGCATCAAATTTGCTACCGACTGTACAATAAAGGGAAACCTAGGCGCGATAGATGAACACGAGGGGATCGAGCAGAGTAAAGAAAAGAGAAACGCCACCCTCCCCAGCCGGACCAGGCAAACAAGAAACAAGAAAAGACATTACCGGCCAGGGAGAGGGAGATATAAGAGAGGTCTAGATGTGATAATCATCCCCGACCCGTTCCTGCTTCTTTTTGAGGGGACAACAAAGGGAGAAAAAGGGTTGTAAATGGAAAAGGAAAGGTGGGAGGTGCGTTTACATGCCAGGGGAGATCAGCTTGCCCTCAGCGCGGCTGTTGGGGGGCCAGCCACCGGCGAAGGGGGCAGCACCAAGCTCCTTCTCGTACTGGCGGATACGGGCCTCCAGCTCGGGACGGAAGTGGCGGATCAGACCCTGGATAGGCCAGGCGAAGGCCTCACCCAGAGCACAGATGGTGTGACCCTCGACCTGCTTGGTAAGCTCCTGGAGCATGTCGATTTCGCGCTCGCGGGCATTGCCGGTCTCGAGACGCTGCATCATCTGCATGGTCCATTTGCTGCCCTCACGGCAGGGAGTGCACTGGCCGCAAGACTCGTGCTTGTAGAAGGTAGACAGGCGGGAGATGGCACGGACGATATCGGTGGACTTATCCATGACGATGACGGCAGCTGTACCCAGACCAGTCTGGGAGTCCTTGAGGGCGTCGAAGTCCATGAGCTGGTTGTCGGCCACGGCCTTGGGGATGACGGGAGTTGACGAGCCACCGGGGATAACGGCGAGCAAGTTGTCCCAACCACCGCGGACACCTCCACAGTGCTTCTCGATCAGCTCGCGCAGCGAGATGGACATCTCCTCCTCTACTGTGACGGGGTTGTTGACGTGACCGGAGATACAGAAAAGCTTGGTACCGGCGTTACGCTCACGACCGAAGGAAGAGAACCAGTTGGCACCACGGCGCATGATGGTCGGTGTTACGGCAACGGTCTCGACGTTGGTGACTGTGCTGGGGCAACCGAAGAGACCGACGGCGGCGGGGAAGGGAGGCTTGAGGCGGGGCTTGCCGGCCTTGCCCTCAATGGACTCAATGAGCGAGGTCTCCTCACCACAAATGTAGGCACCCATTCCACGGTGAATGTACACGTCGAAGTCGTATCCGGAACCGCAGGCGTTCTTGCCGATCAGGCCAGCCTCGTAGGCCTCGTTGATAGCCCGCTGGAGAACAGTAGCCTCGTGGTAGAACTCACCACGGATGTAGATGTAGGCGGCGTTGGCGTTCATAGCACGACCCACCACCAAGCAACCCTCGATCAGCTTCTGGGGGTCCTTGCGCATGATCTCTCGGTCCTTGCAAGTACCGGGCTCACCCTCATCTGCATTGACAACCAGATAACGGGGGCGAGGGTCTTTGTCCCAATCCTTGAAGTTCATGAACGACTATCGAGTAGCGGGTCAGTCCGGGTATCCCAAAACACTCGCGTTCGTCGGAATTGCGTATAGGGCACTTACGTATTTCAATCCTGAAGGGAAACCAGCACCACCACGGCCACGGAGGCCAGATGCCTTGATCTCTGAGATGAGCTGTTTATGGCATTAGCAATTGGTAATTCCTCAGCCCGTCAATTGTGCGACAACCCACCCAATCATCACCCTTCAAAATCATATCCTTGGTCCGGTACCAGTCACCATATTTCATTGATGACTTCAAGTCCGCTCCATGGTGTGAGTAAAGGTTGGTGAAGATCCGATCTTGGTCCTTAAGTCCGCCATAGTGCTTCACGGGAGGCGCCTCCGACACAGATGCGAAGGAGCGGGCGGCCGCCCCCTGGGCGCGGAGGGAGCGGGTCGAGAGGTGGGAGAGGGAGGAGGTGGAGGGAGCCGCCGCTCTGGATATCATGATGACGGCGGGGGTGACAATGCGTGGTGAGGGTCAAAGGGTCGTGGAGAAGGAGGGAAGGGAGTCGTGGAGCTCACGGCAATTCCTGCGCTTGCTGAATGATCCGCCTTTGGGCGCGATTTGATTGGGTGGTAGCCCCGCACGTGACTAAGTTGCTGAGTCAGTATTCCAGACTTCCGTATTTGGTCATGACGACCTCAAGTATGCCATGTCACGTGACTTGTATACATACAGACATGGGCCATTTAAGTGGCCTCTTTCACTAGCAATGTGTTCAAATTTCCCTTTTAGGCGAATATCAGTGCTGTATTTTCTATCTTTTTTTTCTTATGTTGTTTTCATCTTGAAATCAGAGGGATAAGATAACGGGCACAAAGCAACCAGGCTAAACCGTAAACAACTCTTTCATTCCTACGTCACCTCGTTATTTACTCTTGTGGTACATAAAGACATGCCTGTTTCAACATAGACAGTGATCCCTCCATCTTGAGGATCTCAAATGGCTCAAGAGGGATCATCACCATCTCCGAGCCTGCCACTGTCCATGCCCACTGAAGCCACTTCGAGTCCAACCATCCACTATCCTCGGTAAGCCAATTAACTCCATCGCCGGGTGCCATTGAGCTTGGTTGTTCCGCAATAGTATATTCTTGGAATTGACGAAGTGTTTCGCTAGCTTCATCCACACTAGATCTGGAAGTGTCAGAAGGCAGAGGATATTGCTCAAGCAGGAAAGTAAACCATCGGTTGAGACGCGACGACAATCTTGACCGTGCCTCTGACGAATTATATGTTGCTACCAGCAAACAAATAACCATTGCAAACAGAGTCTGTGGATCTGTCGAAATACTTGGGACATTCTGGCTCGACACTCCGAGGGCATGCTGGAAGCATGTCTGAGCTGGCTCCTGCATTTCAACCGGGAGAAGGCCAAACAGCTCGCCTAATCTAAACAGCTCACCATTTTTAGTGATGAGTGACGGACGCTCCAGGATACGCACTCGGATCCGGGACATGACATCGTCTGAGATGAGGCCGGCCGGGACGCGTGCCATTAGCTCATGTATGAGGACCTTGATATCCTCCCAACTTTCACCACGTTTGTGTTCCCTACCGCGTGTGATAGTCCAAGTGGCGATAACCAAGGCAGCTTGGTCTAACGTAATTTGACCATTGCGGTAGATCTGGGAGTGGATCTGGTTCAGGGTGTTGGGTTGCAAAGGCAGATGCTCCGCACTGGCTTTCAGGTTTGTGGCATGAGCCATGAGCTCAAAGCTAATCTGACCGAGGGCAGCATAGATACTATGGCCGTTTCCATATCCCGGAGGAATGCGAATACAGTCCTCGGTGATCTCAAGCATTTTGCGCTCGCGTGCGTTTGATTCCATGACGGTCAATGCGTTGAACAATGCCGGTGAGAAGATCGAGTGTTCCATCGTTGTTTGGGGGGCCAGTAGTGGGTAGAAAGGATTGAAGATGTAATAGTGGTCCTCGATGTTCTTGGCAACCTGAGGGAACAGTTCTAGCTGGCGAGCCTTGGCTTCGCCGAGCGGGCTGTCTGGCTTCACACCCAGATGAACAATGCGATAATCAGTTGGGTTGCCGGCAATGCAGAATCCATAGTTTATCAATACTATGTTATAGTCAGTTTCTGAGGGCTCATACATTCAAAACGAAGATCATATCGTGGCAAACACTATACGTACATTGTTCATTATTACGAGGGCCATAGTTGTTGGAAATTTCTTGACCAGCTGAGTGATCTTCAAGCACAAGAAGGCCAATATCCTTATCGCCCGCTCGCCACTCGACCTTCGCCATTGGTCGATGGTTCGGAAGGTCAATGAGCGGAAGCAGCGCCGAGACTCCATCCTCTGGAAGATCAGCAGGCTCGACAGCCCCAGATAGAACCTTTGACGAGAATGCTCGGGAAGTAATGATAGTTGAAGCCCAGAGATACAGCTCCCTGGATACAAATCAGCATAATGTTCCCTCGGGCTAAATGAAAGGGACAGGCAATAGCAGTCTCCCATACTCACCACGTATACTGCTCACAACTCGGGAATCCAATTGAATCCAACTGAAGATAGCCCAAATCATACTTTTGCTCCCAAATCTTAATCCTCTCAACGGCAGCCTCAGGAATCCCAGTACCTTGAATCCAATCTACATCCTCCTCACCAAAGAACAAAGGGGTGGTCAATTGACCTGGCTGAGGCAGGGTACGAAGATACGGATACCAGAATCCCTCAGGTCCCCGTAGATACTGGCCCATGAGGAAGAAAGCAAAAGTCTCCTCTGGGCCGACCTCGTCGATCCATGTCCGCGGGAGGTCAACGCCGTGCTTAGGGAATGAGCCCCGTGGACACTCGTAGCCAACGGCATTGTACCAAGACATTGACACGTTGATTGGGGTGTTGATCACCCGGGTCTCTTTCGGGATGGGTTCTGGCCAGTCTGCTTTCACTTGCAAGTGCACGCCGCGGGAGGCGTCTTGTGCGATTCGCACGCTCTTGTCGACTGTGCCACCATGCTGAAGGAACCAGGTCACTAGCTCTGTGTGGGCTTCTAGCTTTGGATCGACTTGTCTGTTTTGTTTGTGTTAGATATGTTTCATGTTCTTGGTTTGCAAATAGCCTGGGAATGACGTATCTCCAGACTGCACTTACTCCGAGGACGCTGCCATTCCTGAGGCAAATGGTAGATTTTATTTGATCTTCTTTATTTTTCTCACAGGCAGATTTTGCCGACACTGTTATCCAAGGATGACTCGGCTTCGTGTATCGGTCAAAGTCCAGAGGAAAGAATTGATGCGGGATGGTGGGGGCCCGCTTTTTTCTCCTGTGAGATTTGACGTTCCTTTCTACAACATTCGCATCTTGTATGAATGATCTATGAGAGACAATCTCATACTGATCTACGGGAGGTTGCAATTGCTCAAACTAAATCAATTCGCTTCTCCAGACTTCAACTATCGTACACAGGCGAATGCCAACAATCAAAAGCCATCGACTCGTAAGCCGATCCCAGGCAGGTGGCATGCGATACATGCAAGGACAATAAAACATCAGATCAGAAAGCTCTCCATGCAGAACTTAAGTATCAGTAATGCAGAACCCCATGGCTACTCCATCGATGGAAAGTGTATATACAAACGCCATGCCGTGACGGCGACTCGCGTAAAACCCCACATGGTTTCTCCTGGTGGGATGTACCGTCACGGCCACGCAATCAAATGCAAAGAGTCCAGGCTTAGTTCGAGGTCGAGGACTTGCGGCCAGGTACCACAATTTCCACCAGTCCGTCGTCCTCGCCATCACTGCTGTCGTTTTGCTCGTCATCATAATGGGAGCTCACGGCCCGGGTTCGACGGAAGTTGTTGTATCGGCCGGGGCCTGAGAGGTTGGAGTAACCAAGAGATTCATTAATGATAGCCTCATCTTCATCGTCGGAGTCCATCATGCCAATGCCACTCGGCCCGACCATCTCACCCATCTCGTCGTCGTCGTCATCCTCAACTTCGAGGGGGACACGAACCTGGCGCCTCACGGATTCTGCGTGGCCATCACCTTCATCTTCAGATGAGTTGGTCGACAGCGAGTCTGGGGGGCTGAATCCCGATTCTGGGAAGGTAGGTGAGTGTTTGGCATTGGCTGAACCAAAGTCACTATTGGGGAACGCAGAGCTGCCACCCTCGGCATCATCATCGATCCCTGCAATTACGAATGGGTTGCTCGGCCAGTCTGACTCTCGGTCTTCATTTTCTTCGGCCCCTCTGTCTTCCCCGTCGCCCTCTTCATTTTCTGATGATTGTTGCTTTTGAGCGGCAAGGCGCGCGGCTAATTGACGGCGTGCCCGGGATGGACCAAGGCTCAATGGAGCAGGTGGCGGGGGTAAAATAGGAATAGGTTGACTAGCTGAACTTGTCAACACCTATTAGAAACCCATGTTAGTAAAGATACAATACATTTGACAGCGCGCAGCCTGTAAATGGAAAGGGAACAGTGCGGAGAATTCCCATTTCAGGAGAAAAGTGACACAGGAAGATTCCCTGGGCTGGGATTTTACATGAGGGGACAATGTAAAACACATGGGCAAATAAGGAGTCCAGACGTGCAACAGGAAGTCGATGGCTCCATTGAACAAGCGCTAGCGATCCAGCACTCTACCTGGAACCTTGCCTCGTTGCCTCTTGCTATAGCTTTTGATACATGGGGGATATTGAGATCAAAAACTGGAGAAAGGGAGAAGGGAGAAGGCAGAAGATAATGGGGGATGCACGGAGTCGGTTTAAGAATCGTGCCCCATTATGTCGATCGGGAAGAGATCACCTACATTATCAGTGTCGCCTTGATCGGCATTTCCGGAGTCTCTGTCGTCCTGGTCCTCCATTTCTTCGTCCTCGTCGTCATCGCTTGAGCTGGCAAAGCCACTCAAAAGGGAGGTGCCACCCCCACCGAATGCTCCACCGGAAGCACTTCCTTGGCCGATGTCGAAGCTCTGGAAGTTTGAGCCACCGATTCCTCCGTTCAATCCTGCGTCTGCCAGGGCATTGGAGTTAGAGAACCCTTGGCCAGAGTTGGTGTTGTTAAGGCTAGTCTGACGAGACCCAGACATATCAGGACGAACGCCACCTAGAATGGCATTGTCTCGCTCGCGAGTCTCTGACAAAGTCTGTTCGACGTACTCAATCCAGTCAGGATTCAACACACTCTCCATAACGGCCCGTGAAAGCAACTCTGGCGGATGACGCTCGCTGAACTTAACGACTTCCTCCGCAACAAGAGTAAGGTGACCCATGTATCCGAGGCGGATTTGCTTGGTCCGCTGGGTCTCATCGCTGCGCTTCTGTCCTTCAACAATCGCGGTAGTGATCCGTCCGATGTCAAATACATTTACTGCGAGTGCCCGGTTGTAGCCACGCTCCATGGGGCCATTGAAGACTTGTTGAATCACATCATAAACAACATTGTGAAGGAAGTTATTCCATGGGAAACGGAAGAAGAAGCCCTATCAATGGTTAGCATAGTTGTTCAGCCTTTTCCAGGAGGAATACTAACTAGTATGGTTGGAACCACTTTATTCTCCACAAACTGGATCTTCAAGTAATCACCAACAACAGGTCGCCCATCAGTATCGAGTTGGATGTATTGTTCGGCCGAATCCTCATCGCCTCCGTCATTCATAATGCTTGTTTCCTCGGCCTGTGCAGTAACACTAGATGCTTCTTCCGATTGATCGGCAGGGGGTTGGTTTGACTGTGATGTTTGTTCCTTAGAGAAGAGAGGAGCTGGAACATCTTGAGGGGGAGAAGCCACGGGCTCTTGATCACCCTTTCCGGGCTTTTGCTGCTCGCCTTGGGGCTCATTTCCAAGACTCATGCTGCCAACTTGATCAGGGAGACCAATAGTAGGCGACGAGGGGTCCGCAATGGCTGCAGTGGAACTTTGAGATGGGTTTGTGGTTTCTTCGGGAGACACTGGCTCTGCTGCTGTGATCTTTGATGGAGGAATTTCGCTGACTGTTTCCGTTGGCTGCGAGTTTGCAATAGTCGCTGTGTCGGCACCAGCTTTGGGGCCCACTAAAACACCAGATGCACCAACATCTTCAAACCCTTCTTCATCGCCCGCGTGTGGCACTTCTGTGACCTTGATATCTTCCGGTGATCCAGAGTCGAAAGCTGAATCGTTTGCGAAATCGACCGTCGTATCATTACAATCAACACCGGAATTCTCGTCTCGGTGTGGATCGAAAACTCCTTCACGGATCAACCGCTCACGGTCCTCATCTCTCTGCTTGACGTACTCGTCACTGCCTGGCTCATTCAGAAGACCCATGTTACTGCAATGAAGCAGCTCTGCCATCAATTCACATGTCTTGAATCGGTCGAAACCAAGAGGCTCAATTTGCCCACCCCATGCAGAGCTCAGCTTTCCTCGCTCAACGGTCTTGAGCTTGTTTCCATCATGGATGGTGTGCTGGGAACTTTGAATGAGGGCCATGAACTGGGGAATATGTTTGGCGAAGAGACGCAGCAACTTCCCAAGGTAGATTGGGTCATAAGTGGTGAGCATTGTATCGGGCCCACTAAGGGACTCCGGATCATAGTCGGAATTGTTCTTGCGGATTACCTCGATAACAATACCCACGCCCACGGTCAGGGGGTTACCACCCATGAGCATAGCATCGATGAGCTGCTGTACGCACCGGGTCGAGACAAGCTGACGTGTCAAACTGTTAGGGCCAATGCATGACTGGTCGTTGGGGCTTGCATTTGCAGATATGGTGATGATCGCTTTCAGGAAGTCACCTGCCGAGGTTTGAACGGATGCCGGACGATCAGGCGACAAGAAACACAGAAGGTTGGGTATCAAGTCCTGGGATTTGAGCCAGTCGACGGTGCCCTGGCCACCTTCCGCCTTCTCAAGACTGATAATTTTTAGGAGGAGATCCATGACCATCGGGTTATCAACATGCTGCAACAATGCCGGGACGATTCCATCGAGGGTCTTGAGGAACTCCAGCATCTCCTCGGTCTTTTTATCAAGCAAAGTCTCGTTTACTTTCGTGAAGTAGCTTGCCTGCAATGAATCAAGAGGTGGGGATCGTCGCAGGAAGCCCCAGAAGTCTCGCAAGTATGAAGGGTTGGCCATCATAGATTCGAGGATGGACCAGGTCTCTGATGAGAGAATCTCACAAGCGATATAGGCATGCTTCAGACGGTTCTTCTCAACTTTGTCTAGGTCCTCCGGGTCAAGGATATCCCTCAGCGGATCCCCTTCCTTCTCTTCGTCCGTGTCCGTCTGGTCTGCGGAAGCGGCATCATCCTTGTCCTTCTTTGAGGCATCTATCGCATCGTCTTCGTCGTTCTCTTCGTCGTCACTCACTAAGCTCGGTGCAGTGACATAGTCCATAAGCCGTTTCAAGACATGATCCTCGCGCAGGTATTCAATGAGTTTCGTATTAAGCTGTTTCAGTTCTTGGATGATCTCGGGCTCATCTAGGAGTTCCTCAAGAGTGACATCGGGTTTGTCAAGCAGGGTATCGATGGTGGAGATATTCGCATATCCCCCAAACCGCCAAAACATGATGGAGTATATAGCCGAGGGAAATGATTCATAAAATGGATTCGTTTCGTTCGTCTCCGAGATGTCGTAACGGAGCAGTCTATGATACAAGGGTTCGAATTATCGGGTTCCCAGGAGAGGTTGCGCGACAGGTCAATACACCGGCAAGCCCAGGCGTGGTGTCCACACACAGAGACCAGGTCGCGCAGGTCGAGTGGGGTACGCTGGACCGTCACGGCCAATAAATGACTGAAGCTAGAGAGGTAAATCGATTTGAAAATTGATGCGATCTAGCGCTGTGTGGATAGATAATGTATCAGCAATCAGATTCACACGCTTGCATCACCAGCAGTCCCGATGATGTGTTCCCGTGATTCAGGCCGCCTTCACCGAGTGTGACAGACGGAGTTGAAGGATCTGGTCAGGGGGAGGTTCATGGGAGCTGATGAATCAGAATACGGAGCCCTTGATAGAGCGTACCTTCAATCTCGAGGGAATGACGAAGAAAGAGAGAAATCTGGACCTCCCTGTGGGTTTGGAGAGGGGAAGATGAAGAAATGGCGAGTGGAGTTGGAGAGTCAAAATGAGCAGACTCGATAGACACACACACACACACACAAAGACGGGAATGGCGACTCAACACCTGTCCATCAAGGAAGCAGTTGGGAGAAGAAAGAGAGGTTCCGCTTCGGGGAAGCTGTGATCGATTACCGATCCCTGATGGCCACGAGCCCTGTAGCAGGGGCGGAAACACGTATGTAATCACCGCGGGGATAAAAAAAACCTCCAGATAAGAACTACAAGATCCCTGAATATAATCTATGAGAATTATTATATGTTATTATATGTCTATATCTCTTTTATTTTAAAATCTTGTTTATTCATTGTGCTTTTAAATTTCCATCTCATCTGCATCCATCAAGATGACGGTGGGTACTGGGTACTCGGTACAACCCTTCCCCGCCAGATTTGTGTGCTAAAGAAAGTAGCCAATACATTCAGTGTCCTGTCCCACGTAGCCCAACTTGCCAATACAAGGATCTAAATCCCAGCAGATCATCCGACAATTCCATTAATAAGATGAAACAAGCTAAACTCATGTAAACTGAAACTTTGAATGTACTGTACAATCACGTGTATATTGTGGCCTCAGGCATCACATATTACTATGTTAACTAACTAGTTATAGCTCTGGGAGCTCTCCTTTTCCACACCTCTTTCCCCTTCTCTGTTCTAGCCTTCGTCTTGTAGACCACAACAGCTTACTACAATTTCTCAACAGATTTGTGGCCCCAGCAGTTTCTCCTTTTCAGATAGGGGTCACGCATCTACTTGACCTCATCTAGCTTATCTTGATCTTGATATAGGACCCTAAGACTATTGACAATGTCCATGGTTGATGGCAGGTTCAGTCCATGGAGTTTTTCCCTTCCATTCAGTGCTATTTTGTACATTTTCTCGGCAGAAGTAGCTCAATTTTGTCTAAGGGCAGGCATGAAACGTGTGATGCCTCATCGAATTGATCACGCAGAATCATAGATCATGCCGTTTTCGAGAAACCGCCGCACAAGTTGGGTGTGCATGACCAACCAAGCGGGAAAAAGTGATATAATTGAACTTATTTGTACCAAGTCACTCATAGTCGCATTTAACGCAATGACGCATACCAGTAACAATCGTGTAGTTGTCTATCCGTGAATACGCATTATACTTGTTGCTGTGATGTCTTATGTGAGGCTGTATGTGGCAGGTTTTCCACCCATCTCTTTCTCTTCTCCTACTTCCTTTCCGGGGGTGTGTTAATTCAGTATGCTATGTAGCGGTTTTCCTTCTTTAGGATTGACCCGCTCGGGAGCGGGTCAATCCTAAATCTACAGTTGGTCCGGACGGACGAATATGTGCTATCAACAACTAGGATGGCGAATGAGACACTTGATTCGTACACTGTCTGGTGCTGGGTAATCCGCACCCTGCTTATTAGAAATCCACTCGGGCTAATTTGAAGGCCATCCCTTTTAATATCTTCCTCTTAAACCCCAAATATGAACCAAGTGCTGTATATCATAAGTATCATCTATTCATCGAGGCAAAATCATGGCGCCCTTTTCAAGCCTCCGCGCCACCTTTACCCAAGCATATCCTCCTGCACCAGCTTTTACTGAGGCAGATGCACCCCCAGGCTCGCAGAATGGCCGCGTTTTTATTGTGACGGGTGGAAATGCGGGTATTGGACTTGAGCTGTGCAAGATTCTCTACGCGAGCGGGGCAACTGTCTATATGGCGTCTCGGTCCCAGGTGAGTCTTGACAATTTTTTCGCGGCCTCCAACTCTACTAATCATCTTAAACTTACAGACCAAAGCAGAAGCAGTCATCAAAACGATTACAGAGGCGTCAAAATCCAAAAATACGAGTGGCAAACTGAAGTTCCTGCATCTGGATCTAAACGATCTCTTGATTGTCAAGGCCGCAGCAGAAAGCTTCGCGCAGCAGGAAGATAAACTAGATGTACTGTGGAACAATGCCGGCACCGGAGCTAACATGGTCACGATTGGCCAACGCACAGCCCAAGACTTCGAGGCCATGATAGGAATGCACTGCATTGCGACACTTCTCTTCACTAAGCTCCTCCTCCCACAGCTACGTGCTGCCGCCGCTTCTGGCGAGAGTGGCAAGACTCGTGTCATCTGGACATCGAGCGCGCTAGCAGAGGGGGCTCACCACCCAACGGCCTCAATTTCGACCTGTTGGACAAAGGAACAAACAGTCGCACTGATAACTACGGGACGTCCAAAGCGGGCACCTGGATTCTCAGTCGAGAATTTGCTCGTCGATATTCCAAGGATGGAATCGTCAGTGTCTGTTTGAACCCGGGCTTTTTGAAGACAGCTTCCTTTAATGGGACCCCTGCAGCCATCATGTTCGTCTTGAACAAAGTTCTCCTGAGTGATGCCATCTACGGCGCATACACGGAACTTTATGCTGGACTTTCTTCCGACATTACGTTGGAAAATAGCGGTTCGTACATCATTCCTTGGGGCCGGATCCGCCCCAATGAGGCTACTCCGCGACAGGACCTCATCAAGGCTGGTGATTCTAAGGAGGAGGGGGGTCTGGATTATGGGAACAAGTTCTGGGCCTGGTGTGAAGAGAAATGGAACAGTTATGTTTAGGAAATTAACTTTGTTCAGAACTAATATCATCTTATCTGGTGTGTCCGTCGTTAGACGGTACGAGGATCATACAGCATGGGCCATAGAAAGAACTACATGTACATACTTCATCAAGCTTTGCCTTGCCAGGCATGGCATACAAACAAAGATAATGTTAATACCAAGTCCACCACAATAAATTCCACTTCCGGCCCTCCATACGAACACCCTAGCAGCACCTGAAATGCACCAATAATCCCTACCCATCACCAGCCTTATCAACCATAGATGAGAAAGAGCTACCCGGTAATCTGCACCTACATTTGCACATCGCTGTAGAGCAAGGTCATGGAGTCATCGTCAAGACACTCTTGGACGTCGGAGTTAGATCAATAAATGTGATAGTTCAAAAACCACGATCTTACATATAGGAAGGCGTGCTTCGACTTCTGCCGGAAAGTAGCGCGGGTGTCAGCACTTTCGATACCATTAGCTGGACACCCACTCGTTGCGCTGCACAGACTGGTTTCAAGTCTGGCTTGAAACCTCTGTTCGCCTATGACATGGACCTGAGACTCCGAGCTCCGTGGTTATCGTGACGTCCCCTCCGTAAAGGCATCAAGCATCTGCTTTCTATATATCGTTAGAAGCTGGGACACAAATAGTGGTGGTTTTGTGCTCATTTTCATTCTCTATTTTCACTTGATATAAGAAATGGCGCTGCCCAGTATGAATGGATAGATGGGCGGGCAATTGGCCTAGCGGTTGTCGTTTTCGACAATTTGGGCGCCCACTTGGAGCCCGTCCATCTTCAGCTTGAATGCCGTGCCCGTTTGATCTCAAGTTGCCGGATCGCCTACGGGCGATGACTCTTTTGTTTTTTATTCTGATACATTTCCAATGACAACAATGCTTTCAATTTGGTGTCAGTGGGCACTACAGGTAACTTGGGAGCTCAATCAGAAAGATGGAACTTGACAAGCTAGATCCCAGGTACACCTAGCCCCGGGGGCACCTGGCCCCGGAGCACCCCCGGAGCCCGGGGGCGATCAGTGAGCTTATATAAAAAAGAGTCGTGCTCAGTTTTACTGAGAGGAAAAGCGGCAAGGCCCAAGGACCAAAACGGAAACCCATGAAGTAGCAGGAAACCCGACCTACATAACGTAATACGTATACTCCGTACCTAAGTACTTACATAGGAAACAATTCAAGACTCGTTCCTTAGTATCTTATACTTCGCCAGCTCTTAGAAGCGCTCCATCCCAGCTATTGGTCAAATTACCACCTCGGCCCACCGATCGCGGTTTTATTGAGCACTGGCCACGCGCGGTCTGGAATCGCTCCCAAGTCCGCTGCCTACTTACCCTCACATTCGCCTTTCAATAATAACCCACAACACAACCCACCATCATGAACCGACTATTTGGCACAAAGAGTACGGGCCCCAAGCCGACTCTTGAAGGTGCTATTACCAATGTACGATGCCCGCGCAAGCCTGTTCCAAGGCATCCATCCCCGCCCCTCAAGGTACCCCACTAACCATACAACAGGTCGACACTCGAGTTTCCAGCATAGATGTCAAGCTAGCAGCGCTCAACTCCGAACTCTCTACATACCAAACCAAGATCGCCAAGATGCGCGACGGGCCCGGCAAGAATGCCCTCCGACAGAAAGCGCTGAAAGTCCTTCAGCGACGAAAACAATACGAGGCGCAGCGAGACCAACTCTCGCAACAATCATGGAACATGGAGCAGGCGGGCATGATGCAGGATAATTTGAAGAATGTGATGACGACGGTGGATGCGATGAAGACCACGACCAAGGAACTCAAGAAGCAGTATGGCAAGGTCGACATCGATAAGATCGAGCAGATGCAGGATGAGATGGCGGATCTGATGGAGGTCGGGAATGAGATTCAAGAAAGTATCTCCCGGGCTTATGATGTCCCTGAGGATGTTGATGAGGCCGAGTTGGATGCAGAGCTCGAGGCGCTTGGCGAGGAATCCATGTTTGAGAGCAGCATGGGCGAGAGTGCTATGCCGAGCTTCTTACAGGATGAGGTGGCTCCCCCGCAGTTTATTGATGAGCCGCCTGAGCAACATAAGGTCAAAGAGGCCGCAGGCGGACTTGGATAAGATTAATGTTAAAGCGTGTTTTTGTTTAGCGGCAACCAGGTGTTCATCTGTGTCAAGGCACAGGCAGCGGAGTTGATTGGGTGTTTATCTTAACTTGCAATAAGCTACTCTCATATTCTATTTGAAGCCCTCATTTCATCCATGTGTTATATGATAGCAATTATCGTATGCATGATCAAGCTCCATAAATCTATTTTCACTGTAATCAAGGACGTGCTTAGTCATTGCTACCGTCCCAGATACATATTGTTTGTGTCATGGACAGCATCACTAGAGATCAAGACGCCTTGCCCATTCCCACCAGCACCAACAGCGCCACATTCATCACAACGATGACAAGCCATACAAGGACTGCAACCACCGAAGTGACTAGGTTATTGCGCATCGGGACTGTCACTACATCAACTTCACCCTCTCGTTCAGAAGCTTCTTCAGTTCGAACGGTCATGTAGCGGTTGAGGCAAGTGAACCAGATGAGAGGCGCCGAGACAAATGGCAGAAGAACGCTCAAAGCAACCTGACTCGCAGTCAAAGTCCTGTCAAGGCCCTCCTTGCCAACAGCCGCAGCAATGATGATGCTAGGAATGATACTGATCGAGCGGGTGATGAGCCTTCGCATCCACGGTTTAATGGTCCAGTTCAGCATCCCCTCGCTCACCATTTGACCAGCAATCGTGCAAACGATTCCAGCGGAAATACCCGACAGTAGCAGAGCGAGAGCAAATACCAAGCCTGCAGCTGGTGCGATCGACTTGGACAGCAGGCTGTGAATTCCAAAGAGGTCGGCATTGTCTCCGCCAGGAACACCATAGAGAGCAGAACCCGCGACAATCAGAATTGCGCTGTTCACAAACAGGGCGAAGGTGAAAAGTGAGAGCGACAACTCGATGATTGAGTACTTCATGCAGCCGCGGATTGCATGGATCGATGGGCGATATTTGACTTCGCCGTCGGCGTTCCCTAGAGGCACAGTTGACTCCACATAACCAGAATTGACGTCGAATTCCTTGAGACGGGACTGAACCACGCCGCTACCAAGAAATAGGGAGTGTGGCATAACAGTGGCACCGAGGATTCCACAACTCTGGTAGAGACTGTGGATGCATTAGTAGTTGAAAACTTTGCGGGGGCAACCAAAAGTCAGACTAGACAGACTTACCCTTCTGATTGAACGATGGCTGAAGATGGTAGATATCCGCGGAACACTTCACCGACTGACTGGTCCTTTATAAGAGAGAGTTGAATGCAAAAGCAAACGACAACGCCTAACACCAAAGCCATTACAAAGAACTCGAACAGTCTGAGTCCCCACATCTTCCCATTAGGTCGGTAGAAAATGAGAATGAAAAGAACGTCTACCAATGTGATAGCACAACCAGCTACCAAGGGAAGATTGAACAGTAAGTTCAACGCGATCGCTGATCCAACCACCTTCCAAACTTGTCAGTATATAAATTAAAGCCCTCTAGACCAAGATGTGACACTCACCTCTGCAATATCAGTTGCAATAATGGCCGCTTCCGCGAGGATATAAAGAAAAATCACTAGCCATCTCGGAAGGTGCTCCCGACAATTTTCGGCCAGATTCAGGCCAGTCACCGAGCCCAGCTTGATACATAGGGACTGCAGAAGAATCGCAAATAGGTTGGAAATGAGCACAATAAACAACAAAGCGTACTTAAAGTCTGCACCAGCTGCGACATCGGTGGCGTAATTTCCGGGGTCGATATATGCAACCGCGATAAGGAAACCAGGGCCAATGAAGCGGCTGAATTTAGCCAGGCTTCGAGCACAGTGCAGAGTAGAAGATGTCAAACAAGTAAAAAAAGGGCGACGAGGTGATCGGCTGCTCCTCGGAGGTGAATCACCTCCCGAGTCCGCAGCGATCACTTCGCCGCTAGGGGCCTTTTCTTTTCCCGGGTCTGGATCTTGACAACTGTTCGGTCTGTCAATAGATAACGAATCATCTCCTGCTGCATTTGCAGAATTGACATGTCTGCGATGGACTCTGGAATTGGCGAGACCATTGAAGTCATTTCGCATAGTAGTGTCCGGGCTGAAGGGCGGTGGGCTTTGATTCCAGCTCGGATTTTTGAGGGTATCGTCAGTCCGTGAGGGGCAATTCATGGTTGCAGGGGTGTTTCTAAATAAATCTTGAGTCTCAGGTACAAAAGAGGTGAAGTAAGTAACTTGTGAGACCGGAACTGTCCGATTTTCGCTGGTTCCCGTCCCGTTCTGGAAAAAGCTTATATAAATGGGACTTGTCTCACATTCGTGGCATTCAAGTACCCGCTTATATCGGTTCTACACATTCTTACTCCGTACAATGTATATTTTCATGTTCACGGAAGTGATCGCCTTAATTCCCCGGAAATCGTAAACGGTTTTCTAACGGATCGAAATCCAAAGTCAACGGTCAGAGCCATACATTTGTTCTATGCACAATCCGCATAAATGTGATCAGAAGATCTTGGAAAAAGTGGCTTGGATGTTACTCGACATAAATGCATGTAATATGAGAGTGTATTTGTTTTCAATTGGGCCAGTTCTCCCGGCATTCGGCACACCTTTGATGTTTGGAGAATAACAAAGAATTCTCAATTCCAATACCCTATAAGATAATTGGAATATAGATATTGCTTTTTCGATGTTTACATTTCAAAGTCGATGTATCAGGTTGTCAATCAAGGATCTCTTCAATATATATATATAATAACTAGCCGGGTTCAGTAATAACAAGAATAACAACAATCATAACAATCATAACAAAAGAAACATGCAAGGACTATATGCACATCTAAGAATAACACCAAATGAATGAGCAATAATATGCAATATGACATATCGGGCCATAGGAAAACACTTCGAAAATCATACTATAGAAGGCTAATAACTAATAAACCACATGTTCACCGCCAAGTCCATACGTTGCCCCTCGCAACCTCTTTACCCGCACGTTGTTTACTCCTCCACCTTCAATCCAGCCAACCCCAAGGATCGTCTCATGCGCTAAGTCGAGGCAAGTGGATCAACATCTTGATACTCGATGACGGTTGCTGTTGGCAGCAAGACGCCGTTGATTCTTCAAATTCCCCAGCTTGCCCATCTGATCTTTTTCTTTTCCTTCCACCAGTGTCTTCTTCCCCGCCTTTTAGTTCTTTGAAATTTAGGGGCTATACTTGATCATCGCCCTTTTTTTTTTTTTTTGTGAACTGCGTTGCTGTTCTATTCTGCGTTTGTTTGCACAGATCCCCGTGAGTTCGAACTGCAACTACCCGTCCCCCCCCCCTTTCATCCACTTCATCAGCTAACAAGATGTACTTAGTTGCTGGCCAAAGAGGATAGCAATGGCTGCCAGTACCTCTGGTCCCCATATCTTTGACGATGCGAACCGATCCCCTACCAAACAGTCCATGTTCCGGGCCATAATGTCATCCAAAACCCATAAACGAAATCAATCGGCCGACGATGCCGTGGCCCCGCGGCCTCTGCAGAGAAGCAAGCCAAGCGAGAACATCCCTTTCTCATTCAGTGAGGAGCCTGGTTCTATTGCCGGCTACCGCCCGCTCAGTGAGATTGTTCCCAATCGTGATGCGGGCGACCACGGAGGAGCCACGCCGAAGATGGGCAAGGAAGGCAAAGGTGCCCTACATAAGAAGACTAAGAGCGCTGTCTCATTGAAGTCTCTGAGAAATTATATGGAGCGGAGGGATGGTAAATCGGAGGAGACGTCTGAGCAAGGTCAGGATCTGTCGCCCAAAAAGGCCAAATCCTCCAATAGTCTCTCGGCCATCCTCAAAAGGTCCCAACGGGGAAGAAAGGATGGCTCAAAGCAGAGTCGCGATAAGGAAAACCGCAGCCCGACTGATCTGATTGACAACATGAATATGCCATCCCCGGTTTGGTCACAGGACTCGGCCTCGGGTCACAAAGAGCCCACTGGTCGATCGAGGCCGAACTCGACCGCCGACATGAGTCGAACCGTGGCAGACGAAGTCTCCCTCTATACACCCAAGGGCTATGGGCCAAGCCAGCAACGCAACTTCTATGACTACCACCAACCCTCCCTTGCCAAATCAAATGACCCCAAACCTCGCCCCAAGTCGGAGATTCTGTCAGGAAACCGCAAAGTGAAGGATCTTCTTGGGTTGCAGCGCGCACCTTCAGGAGAAAGCGACCCTACTGGGCGATCTGATAGTGCTTCTTCTAAGAGCAGAGGGCCACCAAGTCCACGAAGAACATCCCCTCCTACTATGGCGAAAGAAGAGCCCAAGCGGCTTTCTCGTGTACAGGCTGCTATCTCGGTATTCAATGCAAAGGAGCGAGATGCTGAAGTGCATCAGCATCTGAACTCCAAGGATCTCGAAAGCGAGTTCGAGAAGCTGCTGGTTCGTCGGCCGTACTATATACAATCAATTTGAATTGCAATGCTGACCTCTCTGTAGGATGCGAGGAATATTCCTCATAACATGAGAGACAAGATGCGCTCACTTGATACCAACATCAAGGCCGATTTTATCCAGAAAGATCGGACGGAGAACATCACTCCTCTCAGCGCGGGGACCGGTGATAGCCGTCGAGGACGTGGCAAAGAATCCAAGGAAGACTCCCAGCCTCATGATCGCAAAAGTTCTCGGTCACGATCCAGGAGTCGCGGATTCACTTTCACTAAGGGTCCCTCGTCGCCTGGCAAAAAGTTGCGGCGGGATAGTGAAGCATCAAGCCGTCGTCCAAGGTCTGTGGACCTTTCTCAGCCGGTTGGTGTCTACACCACTCTCTCGGCCAATGCTTCAACAGCATCACTTGCTGATGCGGCCGCTGTCGATACCGCGGCGGATCCGTCCGACTTTGTGCATTACCTGAGAGAGATCCAAAAACCCGAGATGGTTGAGGTGGGAAAGATGCACAAACTGCGTCTTCTCCTACGTAATGAAACCGTGCAATGGGTCAATGACTTTATCACTGAAGGGGGAATGGATGAGATCGTACAGCTTCTCTACCGCATTATGAAGATGACCTGGCGGTATGTGTCCTATCTGCCTTTATTCAAACCAGTAACTAACCCGTTTTACAGTGAGGACCATGAGGATACCCTTTTACACGAGGCATTGCTCTGTCTGAAGGCTCTTTGCACTACATCCGTCGCCCTGGCACACCTCGGTGCCATCGAGGATGAGCTTTTCCCTGCTCTGCTGCATATGCTCTTTGACGAGGAAAAGAAGGGTCCCAGTGAGTTCACCACTCGAGGGATCATTGCAAACCTGCTATTCACGCAGCTATCCACTGCTCCTGTTGGTGAACTGGCGACCAAGCGCGCCAAACAGATCCTTTCTTATCTGAAGGACCCTGCTCCACCAGTGGACAACCAGCCGCTGTCCTTCATTGCCAATATTTACCAGTCACGACCCTATAGAGTGTGGTGTAAGGAGATCACCAATGTAACCAAGGAGGTTTTCTGGATTTTCCTTCATCACCTAAATGTGATTCCCCTCCCCAAGTCAGAGGATCTTTTCGGCGAAAAGACACCAGTAGACACTCGTCCCTATAGCGAGCGTCACTTCCCACTCCCTCGTCCTCCTGTTCCAGCTGCCCCATACGTTGGGGGTGTTGAATGGGATGCTACCAACTATCTTGCGGCACACCTCGACCTTGTGAACGGCCTGATTGCCGTCCTGCCCACCCCTGACGAGCGAAACCAACTTCGTGATGAACTTCGTGCCTCTGGTTTTGAGAAAGTCATGGGTGGTAGTCTGCGTACTTGCAAGGAGAAGTTCTATTCTTCTGTGCATGATTGCCTGCGAACCTGGGTTGCAGCCGCAGTCGATGATGGCTGGCCTTATACCTTTGTGCGTGAAGGCCCGCCCCGAGCAGGCGAACCTGGCTCGCCCACCAAATCCCCTAAGAAGTCCGCACCGGGTAGTCCTAGAAAGGGCCTGGTCGATGAACGGCCGCCCAGGCTAGAGCTTGCTCTGGACTTCTCGGACAACCGTTCAGCTGCCGGCCCGACTACCCCGTCGAGCGACCTGCGCAGCTGGCTCTAAGATCCGGGTGCGCTAACCCCCCGGTTCGATTTAACGAATTTCCCATTCCTCTCTTGTCTTTATTTCCTATCTTTCGTTTGTCTTTCACATTATCATGACTCGGCGTTAGGGCTGGTCCTCAAGCAGCCCCACCCCAACTTATCTTGTTGGTATTTTTTGTTTACTTGACCTTTGGAGTTTATTGATGGTCTGTTATTTCTGACGGGCGTTGGCATTCTTGGTGTTATTGGCATGTTGACTGCATTTCCTTGTCCAGATAAGTCCTGCGGACATGATGTAACGAAGCCAAATATTGGCACAGGCGACGGAGCAGAAAGGAGAAAGAGACTGTTGATTTTTCCTGTCTCTTTCTCCTTCTCTCCATGGTACAGCGACGCCTGTTCTTCCGACGGGATTTCTTCATGACAAATGACCTATGAACAGATATGAGAATTGAATGAATCGTCACTAGCTTTCTTATTGATTTTTGAGATTTTCTACCCCGGACCGGGGTAGGGCTGTAGATACAAGTAGGGAATCTAGTTGAATATTGTACAAAATATTGATGCCAGGCACAAATCGATATGACTCGACTATGAGCTCTCCTCTGACACTGCATTATCCTTCTGATCCCTTCTCTGACCAGGAGGCGGTGCGCTGGAGAATATAGATCGGAGACCAGCGAAGAAGCTATCCCGAATCTACAAGGCGAAATCATGTTAGCCAAGATGCAAATCAACATAGCCAAGACAGAGAGAGCACTCACCCCATGGAATGGAGTATTATCCGACTCCCACTCCATGAATAGCACGGCATAGATAATGACAACTGTAGCAAAAAAAAGTCAGCATCCTCCCTCGAAATCCCTCCGCATTATCACCGCAGGTTTATACGCGATTCGAGATCCCCAACCCCCTAATCTCAACAAAAACTCACATCCAATAACAACCCACTGTCCAATCAGAGTAGCCTTCATAAACGTCGGCCGGGCATATTTCAGCGCCGCGCGACGACGGTACTTGCGCTCAAGCCGGAACTGGTGTTTCGGGGACAGCTTCGACATATCCGGTGGCCATTGGCGCTTTGGCTGGTAAGGGCTGTAGTATGCATCTTCGAAGGAGGGCGGTGGGGATTTGTAGGTTTTGTTTGCGGAGAGGCGGAATGGTGAGGGGTCTTTGGTTGGTGGTGATGCTGTGAAGGCTGTGAACGGGGTGGTGGTGAAGAGGCGGGTGGTGCTGGGACTCTGTTGGTGCGGTTTGGCTGTTAGTTTTGCTTTGCTTTTTGTATTCGAGATGCGATTGAGGAGCGTTTCAGGCTGTTTGCGAGGTGCGCGTACATGGTCCCATGATGGGCGGGTGAGTGGTAGCTTGCTGGAGGCGCTTGCTACTGTGCTTGGGGGTGCGCGCGCTGATGAGGCGGCGGTTAAGGCGCGTCGGAACATGGGGTTGTATGTGCTTGGTTCGGTCGTCCAGTTCGGTTGGAGTAAGTATGTATGTTGGCTGGTGGTCCGGTCCTTGGGAATATGGGTGGTGAACCACTGGGTGCTTTGTCTTGTGGTGGGAGGTTTTCTTTTGGCTCATAATGTCTAATTCCGGAGTTTTTGACATATCCTCCCCTGATAGCTCAGCTGGAAGAGCGCAAGACTGTAATTGTCCTGTTCTTTATAGAACCTGTCATCTTGAGGTCCCTGGTTCGATCCCGGGTCAGGGGATTATTTTTTATTTCTTCCCCATAGCTATTTTGTATAAAGTAAGTAGGATGGAGCTCCGTGCAAGCCCTATATTATTTATGTGGGTGCGGTTTTTCCTTTGTCAAAGAAGCAGCCGTCTTGGAAGAGAACTGAAATGTATATTATATCTGGTTGTCTTTCCATTGTAGTAAATACGCCATCCGCATATTCGCAATCAGGGGCCTTTTCTACTATTTTACTAAAGTATACATATCTTTATCTTTGTTACTTCCTGACCTCTCACCGATGCCACTGTAGCAATCGCCAAGGTCGATCGATGTTCTAGTACAACAATGCGCTAGTATATGAAGGGTGCTTGGCTTCCGGCGCCCAGTGCCCAAATGAGCCGCCATGGGCGCCACATAGGAAGGGTAGTTCATCTGTGCTTTGCTTTTTACTTGTTTTCTTCTGTCGAACGGATATGGCCGTTTTACATAGGCTTGAATGCAATCATCATTCAAAATGCGCGTGATCTGGTTCCTCGCCTCTACCCTATCGGTCCTGGTCGCAGCTGCCGAGCCCAGTACAAGGACCATCAGCTATTTCGCCTACCGTAATCACACCGACGCTGATATCGGTGATTTCACCAGTCTCGCAGGTCGAATTATTGCCATCGACAAGTACGCTACCACGTACGAGGTCGCCTGTATGAAAAGCGGAACTGGGTGCCCATTACACACTCCCGCAACTATAGTCCAGGGCGATGCCACTTATAGCGTCTCATTCCATGCTTCCACGGTCAACGGTAGTGCTACGAGCCACATGACTGCAGTTCAGACATGCATATTCACTCATTCCTCTGAATCTGCTGTCTGTTCGTCGAGTTATCAAATCGCCAGCGTTGGAGGTGGGTTCACTCGTGCCCAACTTTTCAGTAGCACAGCCTCCATCGCACTTCAGTCTATTGGCTATAAAACTATGCAAGTTACTGATGGTATTTACGCTTTCACAGCCGATGCGACGGCTTCGGCTACGGCGGTGGGGGTTTTATCTACTGGTGTTGCTGCAGCTGCTGTGAAGCCTTTGATCACCACTGCGCCTTTAGCAGCTGCCGCTGCTGCTGCTTTGGCGGCTACATTTTGAGCTTTGGGTTTCTTTTTCTATGCCTGATTTTCACTGGGTTTGGAATTGGGTTCTATATATACACGTTGAACGTATGCTATTTGTAATAATTGTCAACATCCACCTACGGATCCACATCTCATACAATATATATACAACCCACACTCAAAGACAAAAAGGCGAACAGAATACCAAACTGAAGAACAGAACATCCTAAGAGCACATAAAAAAGCCCCGTAGAACGCCTATCAATATATACACTCCGGCTAGCAGATAAACGGATAGACACAACCTCGGGCATAATTCGAAGACCTTTTGCTTATCTTCTTTACTTCCGGGATACTGAAAATTTTTTGGGTAAAGTTGCATGTCGGATATACTATCTACATGATGTAGTGCATGTTATACCGTCTAAAACCCTAGCGGGACAAGAGTTGGTATCGACCCACTAGAGACCCAATGTCGAAGACCTGACAGCAGAAGTAAATATACCACTGCCGGTCACCTGAAGTCTAGCTAAATTTCAGTGGCTTGCCACCAGAGTTTAACCTGCAGTGTGTTCACCATGTAGGTCAGAACCAATTGACTACCGGCGAAGTACCATGGGCTATTTTTTGAAGAATACTTGGTACTTTGGCGGATAAAGGGGTGATAAAAGAGGCATGAATGAGTGCCAAAGCTCTGGGGAATACATAATATGCCACTCAAGCCCTCGTGGGTTCCACTCGGGGATATGGACGGCCGGTTACTGCGCTAATTCGTAGACTCCCGGGATGATAGTCGGCTAATACCCGTGAATGCCTAGTTTATACAGGAGAATTGTCCATAATCACCCTAGCAATGTCGACCAGGGAGGGCCATCAAATATTCCGACAAGAGAGGAGAAGGTTGTTGTGTTACAAACAGATGGAAGCCTCGGCCATTAATGCGCATGCTCTGTCTCAACATCTTCCACCCGAGACGCATCGTTTGTTTCGATCCAACAATGCCGGCTAGTGAATTCTGTCAGACGACTGCTAAGTGCGGGTCCAATGTGTTAAAAAAAGTTTAATGTGCGATGAACAGACGAGAATATGTCCTCACCAGACGATAAGTTCCCCACGCCCCGACTTCCCCAAGTTATTACCTTAAGATCCACTTCCTCTGCTCGCTCCTGGAACCATAGATCCGGCTTCAATGGCGGGCGATAAGCCAGCCAGCCAAGCGCAAGTTGTGACGATCAGAACACCGCACTGGTCAGAATGATGCGGAGGCTCTGGAAGACGGCGTCTGGAGAACCAGGCATACTGGAAGGATCAGCTAGCACTGAAGTACCACCTACGGAAATTCAAAACACCAGGCATGATTGCTACTAGTCTGTTGGAGACCAACAAGCCGAGGGCCATCAAGGGAGATACAACTGTTGACAGCGGGGTTCTATTTCCCCCAGCGACGCCAATTCTTGTGATCAAACGACTGAAGTAGAACCTGGTGGAGGGTAGATGATTTTTCGTACACGGCAATTTACTGAATATGAAATTGTCGTCCAAATCAACCCACCAGCTGCCACTTGCAAAGGAAAGGTGGCACCTGGTACTCTTGCTGGCCAAAAGCGCTAACGAGATAATCGAGTGAAAATATGGGTGCTGCGCACTGTTCTCGAAGATCCGGACTCGCATAAAGAGTATGAGAGCTTACCTCATTCTCCTGGAAGAAGAATTTATGGTATTGAGAGCTCTGAGGCTGAAGTCTTCATACTCGGAGGCGGAAATCCGCAAGAAGATAAGAAATAAAAAAAAATAACCATATTAACCTGCTACCTGATGGCAGAGAGCTATAATTCTTGCCGCAAGCCTTAGATCCGCAGGGAGGGAGAGCGTCATCGGCGAACGCAATGCCTAGGCAGGGGACAACTAGACTCTCCTCAAAACTGATGTTGAACCTGTTGCATACACGGGGATGGGGATGTGGTTGTCGAATGGCAGAAATGTTGACTTGGATGCTGTCATATGGTGTACGGCAGTTGCTGATATGCTAGGCAACTCTCCAAGCCAGATTCATTACAGTGTCAAGAATGGCATGGACAGCATGATGACGAGGCCAATCTTAAGCAGAAGCTCGGTCCCCACGAGATTTTAGCTCGCATAGATGCCACATAGGGTGTTATTTCTGGCGAGATCTGCGGTTTAAAAAGAAGGCAGTCACGGTTCGATAGCTTTTGGATGATGGGCGGCTATCTATACACAGCAACACCGGTGGCACTCGCGCACGTTGGCGCTGAATATGAAAGTTGCGTTGGAGAGTGTTATGCCGCCGGCCTATCTGGATACACTCATGTCGACCAATTAATGAGTATATACTGTTATTTCACAAATGAAGTCTTTCAACGTTGTATTCAGTTGAAGTGGCATCATTCGGGTATCCATGGATGTTTGTGAGGTCATGATACATAAATGTGTGAATCAACCAATCAAATCCCCTGATAGCTCAGCTGGAAGAGCGCAAGACTGTAATTGTCCTGTTCTGTAAAGAACCTGTCATCTTGAGGTCCCTGGTTCGATCCCGGGTCAGGGGATCATTTTTTTTTATTTCTTTCCAAGATTTCTTATATAAATTTTTTAATATAAAATAGGCTGAGCTAGAGGTTAGTTACTCCTATACTGTATATTGTACGGTACAATATATTGTGGTGGGGTTGTCCACGGGTATGTATGCCCTCCTTGCATTATAGGCGCATGCACGGGATCGGTGCCTCGGTTGCCATAAGTTATAACTTCCAACGCATACAATGTACAATAAATACACCTTAGCCAATGATCATGTTGTATAGTTGTGCGTACTTAGTGGTTTCGACATTATTTTGCTGTTATCTGTTTGAACTCAATATCTCCATATCCCTATCTAGAGCTCTTAGCCACCACTTGTAGTCGAGACCAAGCTGCCTCAATATGACTTGGAACATCCACATGAGCAATAAAACCACGCCCCTGAGGACCATAACCATCCTTATCATCCCTCAGCCTCGGTATCTCGCCCATGATCAGATCCATAAACCGACTTTGTGACCACAACTCTGACGGCGGCAATATGTCCGAGTACTCAAGTACTCCGTCAAGGGACAATTGCACCTGCGGCACAAATACCGGGCAACTAATAACCGAGATTGGGGAACGGATACCCTCGTAGGCCTTCTCAAACGACGCCCTGGTCCTGAGCATCATCGTGGGGTCCTGAATAATAATGCAAGTCGCTGGTGCCTGAAAGCCCGCTTCATCGAGGACCTTGCGAGAGAAGGAAGCATTCTGTCCGCAATTCGTAGATCGGGGTTCAAGGAGAATTTGACATCCTTCCTTGGTGATGAGAGATCGATCGAAGAACTCATCTAGAATTCGTTCGAGAACTTTGGCTTCAGGGAGACCTTGGATCTCATCGGCGATCCGCGAAAAGACTGAATGTGATTTCACTGCATCATAAAGAAGCTCGGTCGAGTGCCCGATACCGCCGCACAGTACGAGGGCCCTGGTAAGAGATGGCCTCTGCTGAAGAGTCTTGAAGAGGACCTCGGTACTGTGGAGAACGGCAGAAGCGCATATGACAATGCAGTCGACCGGGGATGCGGTGGAGAGATTTTGTAGTTGATTGTCGCTGAGAAATCCAGATAGGAGGTTGATATCCGCGATCATATTGGAATTTGCGGCCATTGTGTTGAATCAAAGTAGTTCGTGGTTTGAGGACCAGCAAGCACCACAGTCAGTCAATCTATGATGTTCCATCAAAAATATGTGAAAAAAGCAAAAAATAATCCCCTGACCCGGGATCGAACCAGGGACCTCAAGATGACAGGTTCTTTACAGAACAGGACAATTACAGTCTTGCGCTCTTCCAGCTGAGCTATCAGGGGAGTTGGTTGAAATAAATGGCCGACATTCCATCTCTGAACACAATGATGTGGGATAAACGCCCAAAAGGATTCAGCCAGGTTCCTTCATCGTGAAGACAGATCGATATTATATTGAGATAGGCTCCGGAGTAAAATGGCTACAACATATGTAGAATAACACCTGAAGACATATTGAACATACCGACACTAAGCCGAGCTGATCTACTTACGTGGCGTCCTAAATCGTGAGTCCGACCAACACACACGCATGTGATATATGCAATCCCTCGATTTCACATGCCCCCCTTGATCCACCAACCGGAGATCCCGTGACTGGCCCGGATCAACGATGATGCGACTAAATGGACCTCGGTACTTCCTTAGAATGCGACAGCGGCCAGCAACGGCCATCCAAAGGGGAAATATCACCGATTCCACGGCCCTGATTTATAAACCAACTGATCCCCGGATATTTGGGCTACTTTCTTATCCTCACCTTTGCTCTATTCTTCATCCTTATACCTCTCCCATACCTCCATCACACATTGACGTCATGTCTAACGGTGAGTGCCGTGCATGTGACACCCCATGGCCATGTATTCAACAGAATACTTAGTTTCCGATAGCTTGTTGCAAGTTATAATTGAAATAGAACCAGAAAACTAATTTATATCTATAGCCCAGCAACGTCTTAACCAGGTTTCCTCCCACTTCGGCCCTGGTGGCAAGAAGGGAGCCGCCGCCCTCCTCGAGAAGCACGCCGATGACATTGTCGTGACATGTGCCCTGCGCACCGCCCTCACAAAGGGTGGTAAGGGTGGCTTCAAGGATACCGCTGGCGCTGATCTGCTTGCCGGTGTATTCAAGGCTGTTCTGAACAAGAGCGGCGTTGACCCCAGCGCCGTCCAGGATATTGCCGTCGGTAATGTCCTTGCACCCGGTGGTGGTGCCACTGAGTTCCGTGCCGCCGCTCTTGTGGCTGGCTTCCCAGAGAGCACCGCTGTGCGGAGCACGAACCGTCAGTGCTCCAGCGGTCTCCAGGCTATCGCCGATATTGCCAACGCCATTCAGTCTGGCATGATCGACGTCGGCATCGGCGCCGGTGTTGAGAGCATGTCCTCTCAGTACGGGTATGTTTGAAGCCCCAGAACTCTATTGTTGTAATATGACTAACAATATGATACAGACCTGGTGCCGTGACCGAGTTTTCCGACCTCCTCGAGAGCCACCCTGAGTCCGCAAACTGCAAGGTCCCCATGGGTGTCCTGTCCGAGAACATGGCCAAGGACCGTGGCGTGACCCGCACTTCCCAAGACGCCTTCGCCGCCAACTCATACCAAAAGGCCCTTGCCGCCCAGAAGGCTGGTCTCTTCAACGAGGAGATCGCCCCCCTGGACGTGAAGTGGACTGACCCCAAGACCGGCGAGGAGAAGACCATCACCGTGAAGGCCGATGACGGCATTCGCCCCGGTATCACCGCCGAGTCGCTCGCCAAGATCAAGCCCGCCTTTTCCAAGGACGGCTCCATCCACGCCGGTAACGCCTCTCAGATCTCCGACGGTGCCGCCGCCGTCCTCCTCATGAAGCGTTCCACTGCCGAGCGTCTGGGCCAGAATATCCTCGGCAAGTACGTCGCTGCCAGCGTTGTCGGTGTCAAGCCCTTGCTCATGGGTGTCGGCCCCTGGAAGGCTATCCCCGTTGCATTGGAGAAGGCCGGCATCACCAAGGATGATGTCGACATCTACGAGATCAACGAGGCCTTCGCTTCCCAGTGTGTCTGGTGTGTTAACGAGCTCGGAATTCCTGCCGAGAAGATCAACCCCAAGGGTGGTGCTATTGCTTTCGGTCACCCTCTTGGCTGCACTGGTGCTCGCCAGGTCAGCACACTGTTCACTGAGCTCAAGCGCACAAACAAGAAGATTGGTGTCACCAGCATGTGTATCGGTACCGGTATGGGTATGGCCGCTGTCTGGGTGGCCGAGTAAACGAAACTTATGTTTCGATTGTACATTTGCACAGCGATTTGGCTTTTTAGCCCCTTTTTTCTATTTCAGATACACAGATTTCTCGTTATGTATTGAATACTTCGAATACCAAAATATTGGAGCTACTTATATATGCTCTACATTTGATACCAATATTGCTGTATATTTCGTACATGTGCTTCTGTGAAATATGTACTTGGTCCGGGTCTTTCCAGTTCGTCGCCTAATGTATCATCTGGTCGTACGCACTATATACATTCGGTTGGAGCAGGCTTTCAGCGAAATTTCTTAAAAGCATCAGTGACGCTCATTCCTTGCGCAACAGCTTCCTTAGCGTGGCCATCCATTGTAGTCAGTTGAGGCATGAGCTCAAGCACCTGGCCGAGCAGCTCGCGAGGAATAGCCACTACTCCTTCCAAGGGGTCACAGAAGATGATGTCTCCCTATAATGCCAATGATTAGACCATGGAATTTACCATGAAGCAATAAGCAAATACAAGGGCTAGAACTCACAGGTGAAACAGTAACACCCCCAATTGAGATTGGCACATCACGAGCACCGGCCTTGGCCTCTGCATTGGTGCCAACTGTAGAAGTAGCACGAGCCCAGATCTATCACCAGAAAACCAATTAGTAACGCTAACGACAAAACCATGAGAGATTACCACAAACCGGAAGCCCAGTAGCCTGCAATTCCCTCAAGTCCCTGACACGGCCACCTACAACCGTGGCTTTGATCCCGAGGGCTTTCATTCGGGTCGCCATAATCCCACCCGTCACAGCGCAGTACTGGCTCTCAGGCTGCTCAATAACGACGATCGATCCGGCACCAGAAGGATCTGACGCTTGAAATTCGCCGACATGATCTACCCAGTGCTTACCCGGTGGAAAACCGTGCTTCTGGGGATTTTCTGTCGCGATTGATGGCGGGCTGGCGTCTTTGGCCAGAAATTTGAATGTTGTTGCCGGGGCCGCAATCTTCGGCATTGTTTCATTTCGTCCTGTCATGGGAGAGAATGGCACTGGTAGGTATATGTGAGTGGGATTATTGAATCTATAGATATAGGTTTTGTTGGGCTTTGTATTGATGGTTTACCTAGATCTGCAAGGTAACCTGCTCTTGCTGTGCTGCCCTCGGGAGTCTTTTGCAGCTTGATGAGGGCGTCTGATACCTAAAGAATTAGAATATCAGATGCATTGTTCGATAGTTTGATATGGAAAAACAACGCTGGCATACATCGCAGGGCGAATAGTTCTCGATCAATGTCACGAGTTGCTCGTTTAGCGTAGCCATTGTGCTTAGAAGTGGGGGTTTCAAGGTGGGAGGGGCAATGTGCTCTTGTTTCTGAATTTGTTTAGATAGTTGCACTGTATTGGAGTTTAGACAAGAAGTAATAGAGGAATATGATGAACAAAAGGTACATTGGCTGATCAGTCGAAGCACATGTCCGTAGGTCCGGATATCGGATGAATACTACATCATCGGAGATCTATAACTCGGAGGGTTTAAAGATGTTTCAAAAGTTTATTGCTTAATTTTGAGATATTGTGACACCGAAGAATATAAATCAATTATATTTTTCCACAACTATATGTATAAAATTGATAATTATGTCTGGCTAATGTTCCTTATAAGGGGTCATAGCCGAGGTGATCTATCGGCAGCTTGCAGGAAACGTGGGGTAACAAGTCACCTTAAAACCAAGCAAAAATAGATTGTTTATATAGTGCTACAAGTACCGGAATTCGTGTCTTCCATTGCCGATATTCTATAGGAGATATTTACCCCAGTTCAAGGTTTACGATGTAGCATTGTTTATATAATTTCGAGTTAGCCTTCTGAACCTAGTAGTTTCGTATGTAGTTCGAATAATGCTAACAAAAGATGGGCGCATTTTACGCGATATATTTCTTCATTCTTGGTCTTATAGCTTCAATCAATCAAGTGTCTGAACAGGCGGTTTGCAGATAAAGTTGTCCACGAGGTATTCCCTAATATAGCAGTTGCCTAATGTAGAACCCTGATATAGCCGTATAAACTGCCGGTGTCGCGGAGGCAACCTTGTGGGGGGAAAGTGTGGGGAGCCAAGGTAATATTGGTCATCAAAACGACAATAAACTGGAGGAAATGGAATAATCCCGATCCTCAACGTTGTCAGCCGTAGGTATAGACAATTCATATACCACTCTTCGAGCACCGAAACCCAAATAGAAAGAACCCTAACGATGGCACCAAAACCCACATATACCGATCAACAACTGGAGTTATACTTGAACCGCATCGGGTACTCCCACTACGCTCAATCCGAGGGCAATCTTCTTCAGCATCTCCGCCAGGGTATCGAGAATGATGCGTTTTCTGCGCTTTGTGTTCTGCAAAGACGACACCTCACTGCCATTCCATGGGGCAACTCAGGGCTGCATTACTCGCAACATCATACTATTTCTCTGAACCCGCAGAGTCTCTTTGAGAAGATGGTGAAGCGGCGGCTAGATGGGTACTGCATGGAGAATACGGGACTCTTCCTTATCGTCTTGCGGTCCCTGGGGTATCTTGTTTATGCCACTGGAGGTAGAGTCAGCCAGGCAGCAGCAGGGGGATTGAATAATGGATTATATTTGCCACTGTAAGCTCCCCGACACTTCAGCATTCTGAGCATTCGAGCTGACATCATTGACCTGGCGAAGTGGACATATGATTTTGATTGTGATTATTGGAGGGGAGAAGTACATGGTACGGCATGAAGATATACTCCTCCGCATAAACCATACTAACGGATATGGACAGATTGATGTCGGCTTTGGAAACAATTGTGCCACTGCCCCGCTATTACTTCAAGATGGTGCTACTGCTACGGCTATCGCGCCATCTGAGATGCGTATTGTCAGAGAAAGCATTGCCGAGTTCACGGACCAAAGCCAAAAGATCTGGATCTACCAAACAAGATACAACCCCGAGAGCGACTGGTTGCCAACGATCTGCTTTTCCGACGTGGAGTTCCTACCGCAGGATTTCGGGGTCATGAACTTCTCTGTCAGCCAGAGCAGAACTAGCTGGTTCACTCATGTCTTTGTCTGCATGCGAATGATTTTGGACCAAACTGGCACAGAGATTATTGGCCAGTGTGTCATGTCGGGCAAAGAGGTCAAGGAGAGATTGGGCGGGAAAACGGAGATCCTGCAAGTGCTGGAGACCGAAGAGGACCGCGTCAAGGCCTTGGCCAAGTATTTCGATATGCACCTTCGTGAGGATGAGATCCAAGGGATTCGGGGAATGACCTCAGCACTCAAGTAGACATGGCTGAGCGGACTACTAAAGAAACCCGAGAGAATAAAGGATATGGTACAACATTGAATGTTTCTAGAGAAATTGCAGTGGATATGTATGATCACGGTGTAAGGAAGGCGCAGACATTGAACGTAAAGGAAAAGAGGCTGCAATTTTTGAAACTAGAAGATCCGACTCTCGATCTATATCTCAGGTCAGCGTTTCTGCATGAAGACTGGAATCCAAGGAACACATAATATGTTATTCGTACCTTCCATGGGTTGCTGACTTCGAATCCGGTGGGCGCTTGGTGGTTGCTGGACTGCCCGCGGAATGAGCCTGTGATGCGCTGGTCTCTCTCCATCACTATTGTTGGTTGTGGTTAGTCTCATACAATTATTCCCAGGCGCTTTTAGGTCAGCCAATAAGCTGATAGTCACTCACTTTGCTGTAAAATTATTAGCCAATGTGCTATATGCAAGTTCCGACCGCAGCCGACAAGGATGGAACCAACTTACTCTATCCCACAGGTCACGGTTCCAGCGCGCCTTCTTGCCGTCATTGGCAAAGCGCTTGACATAGTGAAGACCGTAACCAGTCACACCAAACATCTGTAGCAATTGGTGAGCTATAGTCCCGGAAGGCATTGACCAATGGTACGTACGCCCATGATAATCCCATAGGGAAGCAGGGCCTCGAAGGGTACACCCATGGCGTGCGGTTGTATGGGTATGTAGATTATCGGAAAGAAGTGTCAAAGTAGAATCAAGAGCCGTAAAGCCTCTCACGGACTGAGGAGAGTGGATAGATCGCGGAGAGTATGGAGGGGAGTGTCTCTTCCTACAGCGACGGGCTTGAGGTCTCCTCCACCCAAAGTGGTTTAGCCCGCGCTGACTCAGCGCGCTGCAACGACACTCACAGGACAAGGGGCGTGAAGGCCGTTGCGGATCGCATTCGATTGTAAAAGAGACAGGCCCCGGTGTATGGACTGTCCTTCGACGCGTCTGGTACGCTTTTGAATCAAATATTGTACTGGTTTCTCTTGGGGTGAGTTTCCTCTGTTTTGCGACGCGCTTGCGATGCCTAGCCACTTCAGCGGCGGACTGACACCTCTTGTTTGTTTAGCTTCCACTTTGCGCCTGGAAACTTTGAGTGTCGATCTCGAACGGTACTTCTGTTCGTAAAAATCTTCGGTATCACTCCAACCAGCCTCGAACCCGCTTTTGATCCAGATGCACCCCCGGATCAGCGCCGACGTCAGCGGGGTGCTTCTGTAACCGGATCGGTTTAAGCTTCTTTCACAAAAAAGATACCTCAGTCCGCCTGAGCGCATACACGAAGCACTGCTGTGCTCAACCTGGCGGTGGCGGTAACTTTCACTATGGCGGCGACGGTGCCGCCAGCAAACGATGAACCGGGCAAACTCGACCCGACTGTGGACCCGGCCGACAGCGACCTAGATGCGGAGGGCGAAGAAGAAACCGACTTGTATGAAATGGATCAACGGCTTCAGGATGCCGTCCACAGAGCTTACACTGGCGAAGTTGATGAGGATGGCCCGGAGGAAGCTGCAGATGGAAACAACTCAAGCATCAATGGGTTGAACGGAGAAAACGATGACGACAACGATGAGGCCGAGCCTGTTGGAGCTGTCAAGTTACCTGACGACGACGCGGGTTCCGAAGAAGACTATGCGGAGTCTGAGACAGCCGACGCAGATGCCGATCCCGGGTTTGAGGCAAATGACCGTGACGCCTCAGAACCTGAATCAACTGACCACGAGTCAGAAGCTGAAGACTGGGAAGCTGAGAGCAATGGCGGCGAGGATATCGAAACTGATATCCGTAGTGGCTCAAACTGCGTGTAAGTAGAAGGGCTCGATAGAGCACTGGGCACAGAATTAGGGTCTAAGTACTAACAACGGACCAATAGATTTTGCAGTCAAGACGAGGAACACGACCCAAGTGAAGATTTCGAGGAATGGCTCACTTGTATTGTTTGTGGTGATCACTGTATGTCGCTCCGTTTGGCGGTTGCCGAGCAGAAAAGAGCTTAGCCTCTTACCTTTACCCCGAGACAATCGCTGACTTGACACTCCAACAGCCCATTGCCAATGCGCTCGCGAACAAGGAGCATATGACGAAACGGAAGGTACGCAACCCCGCGGTCCTTGGTTGCTGTCTCATCGCCTCTTTGATGTATTACCCACTAACATTGCAACACGCAGACCCATGGAGGTGCCCCGGCTGTGTTCATAACAATCTACAGCCCGACCCGATAACAGATTTACCGACAGAAACAGGACTCGGAGCTTCAGCCCTTCCCAAAGAGCTTCTACCTGCGCACGCTGGCACACACGACGAGGGATTCCACTCTATCTTTAACACAGGTGTCAACGACGAGATGCTCAACAGCTCGCGATCGCTGCGCAAGCGAAAGGCTTCGTCAATTGAGGCCGAAGAACATACACCTGTGCTTCGCAAAAGACTCCGACAAACATCTTTCCGCTCCGATCACCCAAGTTTGAATGATGCGGCCTTGGAAGGTGGGGATAGCCTTGTTGATGGCGATGTCCACTCTCCTGCTCGGACACGCTCTGTACGCGTGCGACGCACTCGCGCAGTGGACCGAGAGCACTGCCGCGTGGTTACTCGGCAGTTTGGGAAATTGATTATCGGGTTCCGGCTGGAAGAGGGGAAAATGTCTAAAATAACAGGCTCTCTAATCCGACCGCAACGCAAAAAGAAGAAAGCACCAAAGCCGCCACCTGTGGCCCCAGAACCCCAGGCACACTTCGTTCCCCTTCCCCCCATATCCTACAACTCCATGACTTTGTTCGACCGTGAGACCGACGACGCCAAATCAAAGCCTTATGGAGGGATTCTGTCCGAAATCGAACAAGATACATCCAGAACACTCCCCACACAATTCGATCGCGATCGATTCGAACAGGCACGCCTGAAAGCCGAAGATGAGTGGCAACAGAAAGTGAAGGAAGCGGAACTTAATGGCGAAGCCACTGCGCACGCATCACAAAAAGTTTCTGGTCCTCCTTCAAAGATCAAGTCTATCAACTTCGGTGGCTACGAGATCGAAACCTGGTATGCAGCGCCTTACCCAGAGGAATACAGTCGCAACCGTGTTCTGTACATTTGCGAGTTCTGTCTCAAGTACATGAACTCGGACTTTGTCGCCTGGCGCCATAAACTCAAGTGCCCCGCGAAACATCCCCCAGGTGACGAGATCTATCGAGATCGGTCGATCTCAATCTTCGAAGTTGATGGGCGCAAGAACCCAGTGTACTGTCAAAATCTCTGCCTTCTCGCAAAACTTTTCCTAGGCTCCAAGACTCTTTACTACGACGTTGAGCCATTCTTATTCTATGTGATGACCGAGTACGACGATCTGGGCTGCCATTTCGTTGGTTACTTCAGTAAAGAGAAACGTCCAAGCTCAGCAAACAACGTTTCCTGCATTCTCACTCTACCCATCCATCAACGCAAAGGCTACGGAAACCTCCTCATCGACTTCTCATACCTCCTTACCCGCATCGAAGGCAAAAATGGATCGCCCGAGAAGCCGCTCTCCGACATGGGTCTGGTATCGTACCGGAACTACTGGCGGTTGATTCTGTCATACCAACTTCGTGATTTGAAGGCACCTGTCAGCATTGCAGATCTGTCTGATCGCACCGGAATGACGGCAGATGACATTGTATCTGCTCTAGAAGGACTTCGAGCTCTTGTGCGCGACCCCATCACCAAGACGTACGCCATCCGACTCGATCACAAATACTACAACGAGGTCATCAGTGGTTGGGAAAGCAAGGGCTACGTCCAGCTCAATCCAGATGCGCTACTCTGGACACCTTACATCATGGGTCGTAGCAACCAGTCTCATTTCGATCGTGCTCCTATGCATACTGTCGCCCCTCGAGAGGATCAGGATGAAGATGAAGATGAGACTGAGGCAAGAGCGACCGACTATGAGGGCAATGTCCGAATGGTGAATGGGTCGAATGGAAACACTCTCGCAGACTCCGCTGGACCGCCTTCCACATTGTCTCTGCGGCCTCATGGCCCCCACCATTCCACAGCGGACACCTCTGAACCAACTGCACTTCCCAACCCTGCTGCCGGAATCCCTCCCTCCCGGTTCGAACTTTGGCCTCCTGTGCCTCCCGCAGCACCCCCCAAACGCAGACCTGGTCGCCCGTCTGGTAGCACCAAACTCAATAACATGTCAATGACACCCACGGCCGGCCGTAATAACGGCCGCAACACACCTCGACGACCTTCCGGGCTGGCAATGGTCACCCCTGGAGGCAGCATTCGTCGCGGGAGAAGCTCTATCCTCACGGACTCGCCAGCAGCCGAAGCAGCACCTAGCCAGGCCAACGGTGAACTGGAGCAAAGCGAAGTTGTTGAGGAAGAAGCCGTCGTTGATGAGGATGCCGAAAACGTGGCTCCTGTACCCAAGGAAGCTGCGGACGCGAGCGAAAAAGAACCAGAGCGTGTGAATGGAGACTCTGCCTCTAAGGAACCTGTCAAGACCAATGGTATTGATGCTGCCGAGCCCGAGCTCGCGCTCGAGCCGTCCGAGGATAAGGAAATGGAAGCACCCAGGACCCCCGAGAAAAAGACCAACTCCATCTCGCGGTCACCTGGAACAGCAGTCTCCCGTCGATCCAACGATAACCCCAAAACACCACGATCCGTCAACCGGAAGGCTTTGGTCGAGAAGGTTCACGTTGTGATTCCCGCCTCGCCAGGGTCTGCTTCCAAGTCACCAGGCAAAAGCGAGGGTCAAAAGGCCGTGGCCAATACCAATGGCACCGACGAAGATGCAGAAGCAGACGCAGACGCGGATGCAGAGACTGACGCCGAGTACGAAGTGGATGGGGATGTCGTGATGCAGACATGATAATCTTGAATTCAGCTCATGATTCGTGAGGGCTTTTTTTGCCCGCAAAGCAAGTTACGCATGTGGACAGGGCGTTTGTTAACGAAATTTCTGATTCCTTTCTTTCCCTCTACTATTTTCTTTCACATGTCCCCGGGAACTGCATTGTCCCCTTTCGATTTAATATTCTTTCCCCATTTTCTTTTCTTGTTCAAAGGCTACGCTACGCTAAATGGGTGTTCAGAGACGACGGAAGCGTTGCGCGGCACTCGTCGATCCTCTTTGGCCCATTTACTACTAGTCACTTTTTCAGGGATTTCATCCAGCACGGAGCAGGGATGGGGGTGTCTGGAGTTCTTTGCTTGGGTGTTTCTTTACTCTTTCTATCTAGTTGCGACGAATTAGTACAGTGTGTGATTAGCATGTCTTATGTCAATGTATCAATTACTGGGTAGCTTTTTGCTTTAGTGTACATAGTAAATCTGTGCCTTGCATGCGATATGTCGGAGAATGAGTGTCATGTCGCGCAGGACTCTGGCTGAAAACGTCAAATATGATAGATCTGTGGGACAAAAACGCCGCAACTAGACAAGATGAACCATAATCATTTTCTCGAGACCCAATAGTCAACTGTAGTCCCAGGATATCTCCGTATGCGAGGGACAAAGCATAATGCGGATCTCGATAGCTGTGGCTGATCTGCGATTATCTGATGTGTTCTACTAGGGGTGCTTCGGGGCACATCTCCAACATAAAGTACGAAATACTCCGTATAATCCTTGCAGTAGATCTACAATGGGATTAGGCTCCCGAATTTACACAGGAAGATCGAGCAATAATCATGAAATCACAATCATGCATGCGAGTCTATCTGGTATCACACAAAAGGAAGATTTCAGACCAACCCCTTTTAGGAGGGTGAAATTTGCATTGGGATGGATACTCGTGTATGGTTCACGCATGAGCCCTGGAGGCTACTAGGATAGTGCGAGTAATATCAGCTAGCATTTTTAAGGATTATACAGATCAGGAATACAAAATACCTTACAAAATACCTTTTAATATAATAGCAATCTATACTAGTCCAAAGTGATCGACGAAGATCGGCCAAGGCGCCAACACGGACCGGACAACTGTCAGGAGGGAGCACAACCATGGAACGGGCCCCAAACCACCATGGAACCATCACAGGCCAACATTTAAGCATAAACACAGTAGCGTCCCCTAGCAGCTCCTAACCACTGGTTCTCAATGGAGATTGCCGCTGTCAGATATGCGCCCATGATTTTGGCTTTGACTGCACTGTCCAATGATAAACATCTAAAAATTTCCCTCCGTACTCCAGGGCTCCTTCCTTTTCCCTTGAACAGGGGTTCGTTCTACTTTAGCTTTTGGATTGTTCTCCACGGGACCCTTTTGAGCTTCCTTTGGTCCTCTTATTATTATTACTGTAGTCTGGAGAACAACCTCGACACTAACAAGTTCCCAGTTTTTTCCAATCGGGGCCGCAGTGGATTTCGGCCAGGGTGTGCGCTGTACTTTTAAATTGGGAAAAAAATTCGAAAAATTCGCTTCCTTTTTGGCGGTCACTTTTAATTTTTCGTTTTTCGCACTCGAACTTTCTTTTCTTCTTTTCTCTCTTCTTTTTCCCTACCAGTTAGCGCCAGTATCACAGCCACCCTTCGCACAATTATTCCGTTCGATGTCTGGACGAGTTATGCTAGGTTTCCACAACTGAGTCATGCCTCTCCAGCAAATGGTGGCTTTCCCCGCCATAACCAAGATCAAGGCTTAGGATTTCTGTCCTGGCGCCGGAGCCGAACCCCGGAAGTCAAATGGAAGTGACAGGTCGTGCTCCCAGCGCTGGGGCTTGCTTGTCGCATAATGATGTGCATCTAGGGCTGTGAGATTTTTTTTCGGGCCTATCAACTGCCCAGGAACTTATGATGGCATAATGCAATGGATAAGAACAAGTTCAGACCCCAGTCAGACCATTAGACAATGCCTGTACCCTGTGGTGTGTTTTTCCCGCTTTCCCCCCTCACTTTCACTTTTTTTCCTTCCTTATTTTGCCCCCCTTTTTTGTCTGCTTGTACTTACCTAGCGAATCGCAGCCGCTGTTCTCTAGAAATTGGGTACTCCGTACTGGCGCCGAACCCCCTCAGCGGGTCCCATCTGCTCCAGTCACTTCAAAGTTCCCAATGACGCTATCACTCTGGCTGCAGGATTCAATATTGGGACCGGGACTTTTGTCAGGCTGATCGGCGCCCTCTGATCAAAATTGATTCCTGCTCCTTGCATATGATCGCTGCTATCCAAGATCCCATTCGGAGATAGGTCCCATATGGCCGGGTTAACTGTGACAGGAACGCTTGTCATATACAACTGCACCTGCAGCCCTCCGTATCACATGCTGGCGAGTCATGATTATCGCCATGCCACTTCCAACCCAGGCCCCACAATATCTGCAGCCAAGCTAGGATTTGGGATTTCCTTTTGCCAATGAGCCAAGAAGAGCTCCTGATAGCTGATAAGAGGATAAGCCCCATGCCCAAAAAGCATGGAATGCAAGTACCTCGGCAAGACGCAGAAACTAATGCCCTAGGATGTGGGATCCATCTGTGTACCGATGCAGTCAAACCCATCTGGAAGATGACTAAAAAGGAGGGGAAAAGTACCGTACATTCTCAGCCGCAAATCGAGGGTCAGCGAGTGTGGCGCAGAGCAGCCCCCGTAGTCCATACTAGAAAGTACCCGGTTTTTTTTTTATCATGACGAACGCCCGATCTGCGGTATTGTGTTTTCTTTTGGCTGATGCATGCCCGGCCCTATAGCTCGAGGGATTTCCAGCCAATGGAACCAACCAGCATGCCCCCCCACTGCAGTCGACATACAGTAGCTTGCATGGGATCTGGGGCCTGCATATCTCTCAGGCAATGTGATCCGTCACGGGGAAGCCCTGCGTGCAGTACAGTGATGCGTTGTTCGCTGCATTATGGTCCCCCTTAAAACAACCTGTCCAAGTTCCGTTCGCTGGCTTGTGGTTTTTCCTCCTCGACTTGACTCCCCCTTTTCGCTTCCCACTGTCGCATCATGACTCGGCATGTATCGTTTCGTCGTCTCGGATCGAAATAAGGTGAGTAACCAGCGCTATCGAGCTTTACGACGTGCCACTGGACGCAATTGTGTCTGTCGGGATCGATCTTTTTGTGACTGCGCTGGACCTGAGTCTTCGGACGCGCGTGGAGTCCTTTCACCTTTAGGGCTCATTCACATCGAGTGGCACATACACGAAACCCCACAATCGAAGAAATCACACGTGATACGAATATTGGATTGATCACAGCAAAGAGCATTCAGGGCATCAAGATAAAAAGGTATAGTGTCTTCAATTTTTTTTTGTTTGTTTGGAGGTGTCCAAGCGAATGTGGGAGGTCTAGGGCCTGAAGGCATTCTTTGGTTCGGGCTGACATAAGGAACTCAACCTTGGAACCAAGGTTGGAAACTTTGGTTGACAGGCGGCAGCTATAACCGCCAGGATTTCCTCACATCAAATGGTGTCTATATTGACGAATTGAACATTCAGGCTAATCGTTATAGGATTTCAGATCGAGTGTGGAGACAAAGAAACAACCCCCGGACATAGGCGATGCGGCTTGATCGTGCATATCTCCACTTTTTGACTGGAATGCTTAGACGCCGGACCAGGACCCGAGTCCACCTGGCGTTTAGACCAACACCTTTTGCGGCCGAACAAGAAAAACCGGGTCTGATCACCTGCATAACCGGCGCCAACCTTGTGGGTTGACAAAGAAACGCGGACCACTACTTTCGGAAAGAGAAAAAGAAGTTTTACGTCGGATCGCTATTCGCCCCCTCGACCGTGGGTAGCTGAACCTATTCCACTTTTCTTCCGTCTACGGGTTTATAATTCCTCTTTTCTTATTTTTTGGAAAAAAAGATCCACCTCAGCTGATCTCGTTTGAAGAGATTGTTACGGTATAATTTGATCTTCGATTTCCCAATTCTTTTTTTTTTTTTTTATATTTCAATTTTTTTTTTTTTAAAAAAAAATTATATCCTGGATAATTCATTGGGTTAGTTCACTTTTTTTATATTTTTTTTTGTGGGATTCTGGGATCTGATTTGTTCAACACTGTGAGATTTTGGAGGCCTGTGATCCAATTGATTTGAATTTTTTTTTTTCTGAATTTGAATCTGTTTTTTTCTTCCCCCAATTTATTGATAAATTCTTTAGACTCGCGGAACTACTTTTTTTTTTTTTTTGATTATACCGGGGGGCCGTTATACCAGAGAGAGAGCCGCTTAAGGTTTTTGTCTGGAACCGTGCTCGGTTGGCTCTTTCCGCTTGCAAACTGACGACACCACTCCGTTTTCGTCACTGACATCTCTCTGTCTTTTACACTGTCGCTCATTTGTTCCTCTCTTCCATGGTTGAAGCCTAAAGGAATCAGAAAGAAAAAAAACCCCCATTACCCCACTACAGCTGCCACCCCTCTCCGACGACATCGTGACTCGTCCAGGGTTCTCTTTCCAGTTGGATTTCTTCTCGGTCCAAAGACCCGTTCCCTTTTTTCCCACTTTACCTTGTAAAACCACAGATCACTTCTACCTGGTCTTCTGTATTCCCGGGGATCGACCTTCGTATCTGGGTGGTTCACAGTCTTTCAAAGCAACCTCAAATTTTGGGGTTCTCTCCACCTTTTCCTTGTCTGTTTGTGACTCGTCTTGATGAGTGCGACATTCTCCGACGCCTCTCTCTCGCGCGAAGCTCAGGGGTGAGTTCGTTCTTCCCGTGTCTACTTTGACAGGGTCGCAACTCTTACGCGGTCGTCCAGGGAATCCCACTGACAATGTTGAACAACACCAGTTCTGACTTTGATTTGATCATTCGCCAGCAGCCCAATCGGGCCCGCGTGGCGGGGGGCAAAGAAAAAGGTATGTGGAAGCTCTCTCTCTCTCGTTCCTAGTCTCCCGTCGGTGAAGGGGAGGGGGAACTGACAGGAAAGGAACCGGATCTAATGGCGCCTGCAGAGCGCAAACCTATCGATCCGCCCCCGATCGTCCAGCTCCGGGTGCGAGAGGAGGGCACCTACCTCGCACAGTAAGTGTGCATTCACCGTGGCTTTACGCGGGTGGCTGACTTTGGCGCAGGCATTACCTGCAAAGCCCTTACTATTTCATGTGCTGCAGCCTGTACGATGCAACAGAAGAACGTCCTGTGCCCGTCGCACCGTCGACTGCGTTAGCAGGAACTCTAGTTTCGTCCCTTCACCGGTTGAAGGATGTGGACAACAGCGGTTTGTTCTGGCTGGTCTTGGGAGTGGGCTTTTTCACTGACGAGTTTTGTAGATGGAGGGTTCTTCGTCTTTGGAGATCTTTCGGTGAAGATTGAGGGCGAGTTTCGTCTGAAGTTTACCTTGTTCGAGATGCGAAAGTGAGTAGCACGGTCGGGAGCCTAGTCTGGATTTCACAAGCTAAAGAACCAACAGGGATCGTGTCTCCTACTTGAAGACCGTGATCTCAGAGCGGTTCACAGGTAAGAATCTGTTGTGGAGAGGGTGGTATAGTTGGATTCTGACAAGCTCGCAGTCTCTCCTCCTAAGAGTTTCCCCGGAATGATGGAGTCAACTCACCTTTCCAGATCATTTGCGGATCAAGGTGTGAAATTACGCATTCGGAAGGAGCCTCGGACCATGTTGTACGTGCTATGAATGGGAAATGTCAAAGCGTGTAGCTAACAGCCGCAGGAAACGATCGACACGGCCGGACGAGTTCCATCAGCCAGTCCCTACTCGATCCCCGGAGCGTCAGTCGGTGCAGATTCCTCCAGCATCTAGCTATGGAGGCTATCCGCCGGCGGCCCGGGATTATGGGTACTACGGTCAACAGCCACCGGTCAAACGTCATCGTACTTCGATCGATTATGGCAGACAGCAGAACCTCTATGATGTGGATGGTCGAATGGCCCGTCAGATGGATCCATATAACCAACCAACAGCTGCCATGTACGCTGGTCAGCCAGGAACTTACCAAACGCCTGCTGCTATGCAGACTTACTCCACGGGGCAGGTGGTGCCTGATTATGCGGCGGTTCGTACCCACAACCCCCCTTTTGCAGATTTCAAGAGCTCTTTGAGCTGACATCCGATAGATGTATCCGGGCATGCAAGCGTCAGCGGGCATGCAAGCGTCAGCCCCCATGTCCCAGATCCCCGACCCTACCGGTCAAACCCGATCTAGCCAGCAGCAGCAGGCCGCTGTGGGACAATTGATGGCGATGAACCAGCCTGGCACTCCTGTACGGCACCCCTCTGCGAACCAGTGAGAGTGTGGAATAGAACACCTAGCTAAGGATTTTGGACCCGAGACAGACCCCGGATTCGACTGGAGCGATGTTAGCTCAGGGATACACCCGGTCCGGATACCCTCCCACCTCGACTATACTTCCTCCTCTGCAGCGGAATCGCGACTACCCTCAAGGAACTAATGGATCCACGCGAGGTTATTTCGACCAAACTTCTCAGGCGAATACCCCTATTCTTCCATCTCAAATGGTCAACGAAGGCGATCGATTTGGCTCCGTGGCCGGCCCAACAACCTTTGATCACCCTGATTCCGCGAATGGAACGCCCCAATGATTTGCTTGACGTCCTCGACGTTCTGGCTTTATGTTAACTTTTTTTTTTCTTTCTTCTGTCTTGATAGACTGGGAGGACTGTTTCATTATTCTTTTTTTTATGCTTGATGCTCTAACTGGGTGGCTAAAGGTTTTCATTTTTTTTTACAGGCGCTGGCGGATATAAAAGGGGGAGGTCTTTCTTTCATGGGATTGGGAGAAAAGTGAGACTATTATTAAGCCCTTCTTGTACATACAGGCCCTCTTTTTTTAAGGCAGTATCACTGGCTAATTGCAAGTGCTGCTTTTTATATTTTTTTATTTGATGATGTATGAGGTGGAAATGCAATGGCTTAACTTCACGTACCTTCCCTATGTTTGCCTAAGATTGGAAAGCTTGCCCTTCTTTAACTTCTCTTCTATCATCTTTCCTCTCAGTCTCCTTTTTGCATTTTCCTCATTCTCTAATTTCATCTTCGCCTATTTCATCTCATGGAGTCCACTACGGAGCCTACGGGGCCCATCATGGACCCTAACCACGGCCCTCTCAGAAACCTCGATTTGTGGTGTGACTGGACTGGTATCCCAGAAGACCCAGTGTCTATCACAATCGCCATGGAGGTAACACTGAAAAATCAGGCCCCGAGTCTTCCTTCTCTTTGGTGCTGACTGTCATCTGAATTAAGCTACATGCCCGCGGTCATCCCAACCTCAATCTACCAGTCCTCAACGTGCAGTCGCCAAACATCGTCAAAAGGCCGTCTTGGTTTATCCGGTTGAAGCCTGAGCTCGCCCACTATGACATTCCGCCTGAGCAGGAGTTTTGGCCTAGCCAGGAATATGGTGACGCCGAGAGATACCCTGCCAAAAATCCCTCTATCTCTCCCTCTGGGAGTGTTGTTGTTCATGACGGTTCGCGGGATAACGACCCTGTCTCTCGCCGTGTTGTGGATATCTCGGCCCAGTTTGATAGCTCGGATAGCTCAACCTCTTCTAACTCTCGCAAGAGCCAGAGCCAGGTCGACAGCCTTGGTAGCCTGAATTCCCCCAACCCCCGTAAGAGATCTGCTAAGGCTGCCTCTCTACCTGATTCAATCCCTCCTGACGATGACTACCAAGGCACCCGACACAAACTCACGGTGACCAAGATCGACCTGCCTGGATTGGAACCTGTGTCCCAAGACACCAGCACCACCACCAATATCATCAGTTCTAGCCCTTGCCCTATTCGCAGACTTTCTGCCAGTCTGGAAGAAACCAGCGTGACCAATGAGAACATTCCGCCTCAAGCCTCGGCTCCGAATCTTGTGCCAGATTCCCAGGTTACATCTGAGCATCTTTCGCTAAACAGCAAGAAAGTGACAGTTGACGTTGAAAATGAAATCCCTCTTTGTTACAATAGAGAAACTCGCAGTGAGATTGACTTGGCCAACACCGAGCCGCTCACCGAAGCGAATTTGCGAGTGCGGAATTATGATACACTTTCTACTCGTGTGTGCAACGGAAGCCTTTCTGAAACCGAAGATAGTAACAAAGAAAAGGAGGATCTGCTTCTTTCCCTTGAATCCATTGGCTCGCCATCGTTCTTTTCGGGTCATCATGAACTCCCTCTCCCCCGGACATCTGCGGAAATTGCCAACAAGCCAGAGCTTGTCTTGGACAATGACATTCTTTACCTACAGACCCCTCCCAGTATCTACTCCGCGACATACCAAATCGCGATTTACCTCAAGGTCAGGCTGCAGAAAGGAAAATCGAGGGATTGGTGGGAGTTGGTTGTGAGTGGATTGCCTCGACTGGTCCAATTCGAGTCTTATTATCTCTACTTCCGAACACCCCCAGGCCAGGGAATGGAATTCATGACTTCGTCTTTCAAACGACATACGCTTGTGGAAAGCTGCTTGATGGCCCAGTTCGACGGTGGAAAAAGCCTCGTGGTTCCGTTCCGTAAGTGCAATGCACAATTCTACGGGCCACTCAAGGATCACAAAGTCAACACAGTCATACAATCCGAGGTGGAGGAGGTTGATCCGTCGTCCTATATGATCAAATACAATGCCGTTTGCTCCATTGATCTCGTCAATCACAATTTCTGGGCTGAGAAGTGTCAATTTGACCTTGTTGTGCATGGCGGCCCGGAAGGCGAGTTTGAGGCCAATTTTGAAGCTCAGAAACCTCTGATAAACACCATTCGACTGCAACCAGCACTAGCACCAGATTTAGATGGGATTGGACTCTCGCGCATTAATATCACCAGCATCCCCCAAGCTCTGGACATGTTCACAGTGTCATGGGAAGTCAAATTGCCACGGGGAAAGGCTTACACCTGGTTGCCATGGATTAAGACCAGGTACAGTGACGTTGAAACCATTCTCCTAGAAGATTACGCCCTTTCTGGCCCCGCCCATGAGTATCTCTCTCCGATACACCAGGGGGTTGGTACTAGGTGCCAAGATCCATGGTGTCAACTGGGAGTTGGGCTTAACCATTTTGAGCCCCCAGTTGAGAAAACTCCACATCTTTATGATGGGTTCGGAATTCACGATACTGGGGTGTTTAATCCATTCTCCGAGGACTCAGCTTCATATCTCCAACGTAAAGCTCTTCTCAAGACTGCGCCTCCACTGACTGCACCTCTATTTAAGTCTGCAAGTACCCAGACCTTCGTTGGGGAGATTCCAGCCCCCAAGTCTACAAAGACCGAGACTCCAGTCGCTGAATCAAAGCCAAAGAAGCCACACCGTGTTGTACGTGGACTGTGGACTCTGATCAAGTTCTTCTTCCATCTATTTGCTTTCTTGGCGTCTGTCCACACCCTCTACTGGTCGTACTTGCTGCACAATTGCGGGTTCCGTTTCGACCCCTATGATTTCCCCACCTCGTGCCCCCAAAAGGAAGTGTATGTCTATCTGGGCTACGCAGAGAATGTCACCAATGCTGATGTGGGGAAAGAGGCGAACACGGTCCTGGAGGAGTTTGTTCTTCAGCCTGAGCTGATTCGATCTGAAGTTCAGTCTATCAACACCACACCTGCCGAAATTACCCCAGTGCCTCTGAGAGACCGCATTGATTACCTTCTCGGATGGCGAGGACCAATTGCGAGGGAATAAATCTTTGACAGTGGGGATGGCTCAGTATCGTTATGAAGGAAGATTACCGGGACGTGAATGGAAAACCGCAGAATCAGGCACAGCCATGCAGTTAGCAAATAGCAAACATAAAGACACAAAAATCTATTGCTTAAGCCACCGTATACTCTCTATCACCTATGTAGTGTATACTATACCTATATCTAATTCAAATATTATTCCCAAATCAACTCAACAGCTAAGCTGAAAACAGCATCTGAAATCGTGGTTGATCAAGAACGGAGTTTGCATGATGACCTGGCTTGTTAGCTAGGGACAAGACAGGATGCTCTTATTCAAGACGTGCTATTCCGTGTATTCAAGTTGGTTACATAGAATATTCGGCCGCTTTATACCTTGTCATGTCTTTTTAGATGTCCTTTTACCATTCTCGGTTTCATAACCAAAAAAATGGAATTAAGAATTTTTTTATATACCAGGGCTTGTAGGTACCTTGGGCAGGAAATCTTAGGTCTAGATCTACCTCGATATACCTCTAATTAAGAACTATATTTGAAATTATTTGTACCAAATATCGCACTATACATGCGGGATTTTCCAACCTTGGAAGCCGAGTAATGTCTTTCTAATGACAGTTACCTTTAAGAACGTAATCATGACTTTTATCTGGACTTTCGCAGCCCGAGGAATTCATCTTCATCATCCAAACCCTACAAAGGATCAATCCCGACATTAGAGAGACTATTACCTATTTCTCCTGATGATTGATCTGGCCTCTATAACGATATTCTTCGCATTTGGTTAGAGTCAAATCCTCCATTTATTTGGAACTGTCGTATGGTGGGACAAATTTCGTCCTATATCCGAAGACTCTTAGGAGATCGCAGATCGTTACGAGAGACTAAAGCTTTGACGACGGGGATGACCCAGTATCACTACGAAGGTGAATACCGGAACATAACTGCAGCCAGGTAGAAAAAAAATAAAGGACAATAATTATCGCTTAACCTCTATATCTTGTACACTCCACCACGTAGATCATATATATACTACTATACCGATGTCCGACTCAAATAATATCCCAGAATCAAGTCAACCGCCCACCTCAAAATAACATCCATCCCTGCACTCCCACAACCCGGTGCAACCTCAACCCCAACATCAGTCCTAGCCTTAGTCCCATCCCCAACCCTCCGAACAAGATCAGCCTCCCCCAGATCCTGACTCCCCTTCTTACCCTCATCTTCATCCTCAGCAACCAACAACCAAGCATGGTCCGCCACATACCGCGGCCAAACAACATCATCCACATACCCAGGCGGATCAACCCAGAAATTCTGCGGCGGACGATCATCCTCCGCATGAAGATCAACCTCCGTCCTCGTCTTCCCACATCCCTCATCCCCAGTCTGCTCCGGCGGCTCCGGCGCCGCCCCAACAGTCACATACCCACTCCTCCCCTCCCGTCTAGCCTTAACAAGCTCATACGCCGCAGGCAGGAATAAATGAAGATTGATAGCGTCATGAACAGAACGAAGGACGTGCTCTTCTTTCTCTGATCCAGACAGGGGAGGCGCAAACAACAAAAACCCCTCTAAGAACGCAATGGTCTTCTCATTGCGTTCCCCTGTTTCATCCAGCAATCGAGAACAAACAACATCCCGCAACTCCTGCACTAGCTCTTCCGACACGCCGGAAGAAGTCTGGTCGTTCTGGTCTTCCTTGCTGCGAAGTCGGGGTGGGAGTGACCCTTCTTCGCGCACGTAGTTTAGTGCTTGCGAGAGGAAGGGGATGTCGATTGCGGAGGCTGTGTCCCAGTCTTGGATTCTCGCGCCGGAGCGGGTGGTTGTGTAGGGGATTCTGGGGGTGTTAGTATGTAACGTGATTGAGTGTGTATGTATGGGACTCAAGGAATGTGTACGCACTGATCGTCCGGGAAATAGAAATCATCTTCGTGGATTATGAAAGTGTTTAGAGGTCGGTCATTTGGTTTGAGATTCACCCCGTAAAATACACGCTGTAGTAACCGTGCAAGGGTTGTCTTGCCGCTGCTTGAGGGCCCGGAGATCCCTATTACTACGGCTTCCTCGCGAACTGGCTCCATTGCGGTAATTTGGGAGTTGGAGAATTGAAGCTCAAGCGATGAGGGTGAGGGGTGCGGGGGGCGATTGTAAGCAAACTAAGCCTAATTGGGATTAGTCCCTACGGAATGTGTACGTTTCCTTGAGCCTCAAACTCATCTCTTTTCTCTTTATTTTCCTCTTTTCTTATCTCATCCCACAATTTTCATCATGGACAGAAGATGGAAGGATCCAGATGGCTGGGGAGCGAGACATATATATGACACCGCTCCTTTCAGTTTGTGGGACAAGATTGAGCGCAAGTATCGTCCACCGACGAAGGGAGAATTCCGGTGGATTCGCAACAAGTTTGGAGATGGAACGATCTCGTGCTATGGTTGGTTTATATGTATCAAGATTAACAACCCGACAAATCAGGTTCCTCTCACACTAGGATGCATGCCGGTCATGTTTGTCCATGAAACTTTGCATGAGCCCTTTCCTGAAGCACTTTATCCCAACCCACGATTACCAGATCCATGTCCTCATCTACGATGGCCACGAATAGAATTCTCAACAGATGCAGAAAGCACCACCCTCCTCAAAGCGTTGGAGCCACTAGCAAATATACGTCCAGTTATGTATCTGCCTTCATTGACGATAATCGAGCTTGAGTACGGAGATAGCCGTGTTTATGGACCCAGGTCACTCCCAGGGATTGTTGCTGGGCGCACAACTATATACCACCACTCAGAATCACCCGTCTACAAGTCGATGAAGAGTTTGAGCGGAGAAGAAGCCCTGACTGTCACTCTTCAAGAAGACTCACCGCAGATGTTGTTTGAAGGGAAATATATCAAGGCAGGGTCATGGGCCGAAACTGATGACATAAGTCTAGGCTTACTGAGCCTGTTTTCGTAGGGGAGGGTGAAGCGGAAGCCTATACGTCCGCCTGGGCAACCGGAAATTCATTTTGAACGGTGGCAGTCATATTATCTCCAGGCATCTTGGGGAGTTACGAAGCTACGTATCTCTCATGACATGGATTGTCTAAGTGCTCATCTATGATCTGGTAGCTGAGGGATGGCAAGTTCTTTGAGTGCTCTATTCACTTCCAGGGTAGCTGTTACAGCACGTGTCTAGCACTGATACTCATTTTCTCAGCAGTAGCTGGTAGGCACATAGCTAGCTCCATGAGACGTTTTTGCTACATTTAAAGTAATCATAAACGCTTCAATGGCTCATCGCATGAGGTAGGTAGTGTTCAGTTATTTATAGTAATTCTCATATCTTGGAATAGCTTCCAGAGCTTTATTTTCATAAGTGTAGATATATATCATGCAAGTAGCCACATCATGCAAATGGTCCGAATAACGAGACTCGTCTGTCAACACCGCCCCCGGGCAAATCTGACACAGATTGCAATGGGCTAGATTCCTCATCACTATCCTTAATAACTACCACACCCTCCGCAAAGCCAGTCCGCGAAGGCCCAGACACAGGAACCCTAGCATTAGAAGTCAATCCCAACCCGGGCACAGGCTGCTGCGGCCCAGGAAGCGAATCCACAGCACCCTCACCCAAAACCTCATCATGATTCGCAAAGGCAATCCGTCGCCGCCGGGCCGATGGCCCCTGAACACCAGCCAGATCGGAATCGGCATCGGATTCCGGACCCGACCGCTGTTTTCTTTTCAGCTGTCCCCGCTGCCGCAGTGGCCCGCGCACAGGGTCCACCTCGCTATCGGGAATCGGCAATTTATGCTGATCAAATAGTCCGATCGGATATGTCAGCGGAGCCATGCCGGCCGAAGCCTCGTCGGGCATAGGCAGGAAGGGCTCGTTCTTAATGATATCGCTCATGGTACTATCTTTCAACGGGTTATCACCTGCGTGCTTCGTCTCCTCGGCGGTCATGTTTTTGCTGCGGTTGAGCATCCGGTGTTCGAGGGTATCGCCTAGGACGAGTGTTTCGACGTAAACTGGTCTTTTCTGCCCGATTCTGTGGGCTCGTTTGATGGCTTGGCTTTCCACATTACGCTCCCAAATTGGGTTGACGATGTACATCCGTGAGGCTTCGGGAATGTGGAGGCCGTGCGAAGCTTCTTTGACGCTCATTAGTAGAACGCGGACCTCATCGGTTTGGCGGAAACTGTGCAGATGTTCGGTTTTGAGATTGGATCCCATGCTCGTGGTACTGGCGTAGGTGCGGAAGTTGACTGCTATTAGGTCCAGACCTTGCTCGACCCAGGAAGCGACGTTGTCGTGTTCATAAAAAATGATGATTTTCTCGGTCTTCTGGAACTTCAGCACTTGCTCTAACAGGTATCGAAGCTTGGCTGATGCTACTCCTTCCAGCTTCGTTTGTGTCAACGGCGAAGTCTCTGGGAGAGTGCGGAAGATGTTCTTCTTAAAAGTTTGCTTTGAATTTTTCCTTTTACCTTTCGGGCTTGATGTGTTTGCTGCGGAATTCGCCAACTCGGGGGCACCGCTGTGAGGAAGAGTAGCTGTCTGGCTGTGTTTGACCACCTCCCGACGAACTTTGATGCCCTCTCCTGCGAGACCTTCGGCGGGATCAGGCGTTTGGAGATGGTTCGTCACAAATTGTTGCGCGCGACGGGCCTGGGTCATACCCATGAGCAGGGGCTCGTGGTCGGTGTGAAAGGGATCAAGGGCCCACATGTTGCGAGCATGCTCTGGGAAATGCCGAACAAAGACTCCTAGCTCATGCATCTTTTTGAATCCATTCCAGCCAGGAGAGCCAATTGCCTTTCGTGCTATCTGAATTCCATGTCTTAATTGGTTGAAATCCGCCACTGTCATCTTCTCTTGGTTTTTCTCTAGATATTCCAGAGCAATGTCGACAGTACTTTGGACGTCATCGGAGCCAGCCCACCAAAATCCAGCCAGACGTAAGTTTTGTATCAACTCAGTGAGTTTAGTTTTGCTGTCTTTGTTATCACCAAACATATAGTCAGGACCTTCACGTTCAGACGTAATGGCGTTGACTGCGAGAGTGAAAAGGAATATGTTGATATACAGCCGGTCGTAGAAGGTTGGCTCAAGGTAGACAACCTTGTTATAGAGCGGCGGAAGAGTGATCTCCTTTTTGACCGTTTCATACGGGTGCCGCACAACAAGACTCTGGAGGGTCGCACGTAGAGATGGAGATTTTCGAGCAATTCCATCTTCACCCACCGTTCTTGTGTAAGTATCCCACTCCGATTTCCAATCCTTATTACGATTGTTGGACCAAGGCTTGAGATCGAGGAAATCATGAATCATCAAGCCCAATTTATCCAAATCTTTTATTTCATGCTTGAGGGCACCGCCGGCGTTTCGGGCTTGTTGCAATATGGCACGACCATCGAGTGAAGATCCAGTATCGTCTGTTTTCACTTCCTGTGAAGCAATGCTCAGTTCCACTCCATACAATTCCGAGAGAGGGGTTCCCGAAATGATCCAGCGGCGCTCAAAGTGCAGCTTTTTTAGAAAGTCGACCATTTCTGTTGTTCTACCGGCAAGGTCATGCCCTTCATCGACAATGACTCGCAACCAGTGAAGATTGACAATAGGATAATGCCCAGATTTGCCTATTTTTGGATTCTCTTTGTTGCATCGGCCTTTGGAGAACAGCACAATGTCGAAGTTTAGAAGTTCCTCAGTTGGTGGTGTTTTGTCCTTATTTCGCAGAATTAGGACATTCAGATCGCTAGTGTGAGTAGCAATCTCATGTTCCCAGTGGTCCATCAAGTTTTCCGGGACAATAACGAGTGTACCAGAACAGAGATGGATTTCTCTGGCCAACAGGGCGTACTTTGATTCACGCTTTTGGCGTTCGTTTGGAGCCGGTATAATGTAGGAGCCACTGTCGGCCACGCAGGCCTCTATACAATTGATATAATAGTTTCCCTTGGCTTTCTCCCGGCCAAAGAAGTCCTTCCAGGGAAGGGAAAAGCGACCAGCAACAGAAGCAGCCATTTTCATTAATGTTCCAGTCTTGTTTCTGACGGGGTTATTGAGCGTTTGATACTCCACCGGGATTTTGGGAAAATGTCCCCGCGTAGCCAATATCACAGCAAGACTGATGAGGGTTTTCCCGCATCCCATGGACTCTGCCAAAATCCCTAGTAACAGTTAGCATGATTCACCAAGATATTCACAGACCAATAATCATTGAGAAAATCAGCGCCGAAGGTATGACCACCTACCTCCACAGGCCTCGGGATACAATATCTCATTCCTCAAAACTCTCCCCTTCACCTTATCATAATAGAACTCCACCCCAGTCGGACCCCGCCAGTGTTGAAATCTCGGATCAAGTGCCAGCGCCGGCTGTGTCTCCCGCTGAACCATCACAGCAGCAGATTCGCGCTGAAAGTCATAGAGCGTCGTTTCAAGACCTCGAACTGAATCATCAAGCAATTCCTTCATGATCATCCGCGAGTTGGGATCTGTTACATGGTCTAAGTTTGGTTTGGGTTGTTGCAGTGTATTGTATATATAATATAGGGATTCCTCTTCTTCGCTATCGGGTTGAGCGTTGGCCAGTAGATCAGCATAAGCATTGACCAAGCCGTCCCATGCTTCGGAGGAGCTGTCAATCTTGGACATGACGCGTTTGAGAGCAGATACGAGCTTGCTATTTGACTTCAAATGGGTCCGCCGTGCGTCTGGTAGCACGAAAACCTGTACATTGTCGCTGTCGTCAAGAGCGTGTGTGCGGATCCATTCGACTTTTTCCAGCAGCGCTATGTCGGAGTTCGGGTAGTTGGGCGTGGAGGAGGATCTGCCCAAAACGCCGGCTGGGATATAGTGGTCGATATGATTATCCATTGCCTCTGAGGCGTGGGGGTTAAGAGGCTCATTTGCCACTGGGATGAAAGGGCTGAGAGGCTCATCCCTCGCCGCTGTCGTGTGGGGGTTAAAAGGTTCATCTGCCACCTCTGGGATGTGGGAGTCGAGAGGTTCCTCCGTTGCCCCTGGGATGGAAGGGTTGAGAGGCTCGTCCACTGCCTCCGGATCTTCAAGTTTCACATCGGGTTGAGGACTGGACGGGGGATCGGGAACCAGAGGAAGCCCTGACGGAAAGTCGACCACAAGCACTGGCAGTCTGTTCCAGTTGCCACAGGCATATTGGCTTACATCCGGCATGGTGAATGCTTTGCAGGAAAAACAACATGAGATGAGATCCGGAGATAGATAGGCAGAATGGCGACCGCCTTAGATAAGCGGCTCTGCCATGTCGGGTTGGGAGTGGATCAGGAGGGTCCGAGCGCCCACGGGTTGGCTTCTTTAAGGCCAACGTCCCCTTTCTCGATTTTACGTCTCGATTGTCACAATAACCTCATTTACACAGTTTTCACTATTAGTATTATTAATTAGAAGCAAGATGAGTCATCATCAAATTACCACGATCTAATCTATCACATGCCCCAACCAATGAGTCCATGAATCCTTGAACAATGCACCAAATTACATTCTATGGCCCAGCCCCGAGGCTTGATCTTGAGATTACTGAGTCAAAAAGTCTTCAATCTCAAAACCCATCCGCTTAAGCGCTTTCTCCTCCAGATCCCGCCCAGCAACCTTCCTTAGTACGACCGTGCGCGCATCCTGCAGCCGCACCTCAACAGGATTCCCACCCATGCGATCCAGTTCCTCCTTACTGCACTCACGAATGTAAACCGTGATATCAGGGCCCACGCACGCGCGCCACAGCGACGCCATCCACTGCCAGTGATCGAGCGGAGCGTAGGAGTCGCCGATGGGCGTGGAGCAGGCAAATGCGTCTGCCGTGGTGAGTTGGTAGCGCGGGACGAGCGCGATCGGCACGCCGTAGTGACTGCTTGTTGTGATGGCACTGACCTCGGAGCCATTTTCGCTTGACTGGGCTGGGGAGTGGATTTGCATGTTTGCGG